TGTTTGTTTGTTTGTTTGTTTGTTTGTTTGTTTGTTTGTTTGTTTGTTTGTTTGTTTGTTTGTGTGTTTGTTTGTTTGATTTGCTTGCTTGCTTGCTTGCTTGCTTGCTTGCTTGCTTGCTTGCTTGCTTGCTTGCTTGCTTGCTTGCTTGCTTGCTTGCTTGCTTGCTTGCTTGCTTGCTTGCTTGCTTGCTTGCTTGCTTGCTTGCTTTGCTTGCTTGCTTGCTTTTTTTTTGTTGTTTTTTTTTTTTGCTTGCTTGCTTGCTTGTTTGTTTGTTTGTTTGTTTGTTTGTTTGTTTGTTTGTTTGTTTGTTTGTTGTTTGTTTGTTTGTTTGTTTGTTTGTTTGTTTGTTTGTTTGTTTGTTTGTTTGTTTGTTTGTTTGTGTGTTTGTGTGTTTGTGTGTGTTTGTGTGTGTTTGTGTGTGTTTGTGTGTTTGTGTGTTTGTGTGTTTGTGTGTTTGTGTGTTTGTGTGTGTGTGTGTGTGTTTTTTGTCTTTGTGTCTTTGTGTCTTTGTGTCTTTGTGTCTTTGTGTCTTTGTGTGTGTGTGTGTGCGTTGGGTGTGTGTGTGTGTGGTGTGTGTGGTGTGTGTCTGTGTGTGCGTGCGTGGGTGCGTGTGTGTGCGTGTGTGCGTGTGCATGTGTTTGTGTGTTCGTGTGTTTATGTGTGCATGTGTGCATGTGTGTATGTGTGTATGTACGTACGCACGCACGCACGTTCGTATGTATGTCTCTGTGTTTGTCTCTGTCTCTGTCTCTGTCTCTGTTTGTCTCTCTGTCTCTTTGTCTCTCTGTCTCTCTGTCTCTTTGTCTCTTTGTCTCTCTGTCTCTCTGTCTGTCTGTCTGTCTGTCTGTGCGTGTCTGTCTTTGTGTGTTTGTGTCTGTGCTTGCGTCTGTGCTTGTGTTCGTCTGTGTAGTGTGCGTGCGTCTGTGTGTGTGTGTGTCTCTTGTGTGTGTGTGTGCGTGTTTGAGTCTTTGTGTCTTTGCGTGTTTGTGTTTTTCCCGTTGGACTTGGGAGGCCGCGGAGAATCAGCGCGCTGAAGCCTTGAGGTTGGAAGCGGTGGATGGCTTCGGTCGTCGCATTTGGCCTGCCTAAGAGGATTTCCGCTCCAGGCCTCCTCTAAGGATTTGTTTTAAGCATCAAGTTCTGGAATGACCGAGTGCAGGGTGACATCTAATCGGAATCCTGAGTTTTCAACGAGGGTTACTTACGTTGCCAAATTCATATTGTGTAAGAATCGCAGCTCTGTAGGGATCCTTGCGCAGGTTGTTTGAGTCCGGCCTCTAACCCCGCGCAAAAAGATTACTGAACCGGGTGCATGGCCTTAAATCCTTCGACACCTGGGCTCGCAGGCGGGAAACAAGAACGATGTTCATGGTTGCTCCAAAGACCCCGCACAGGAAGAGCCAGCTATACCAGAGGTTGAGAAGGTTTTCTTTGACCGCTGTCGACAGGGCAGAGCTACAAGAGCTGCGGGCGAAGTCAGTTGCTGTAAGCTCAGCTGGCTCGACCGTTTCGGAGTTCAACTAGGGAGGTTTGCTCTATGGCCGGATGAGAACCGTTGGTTTTGCTGGTAGGTTTGTTCATTGTCCTGTTTCCCTTTGAAGGGCCGGTACTTTCCCACTCTGCCAGGGATCAAAGCAACCCTGTGGTTCGAAGCTCGAGCCCCACGTGCTAGCTGCGAGGCACGAGAAACTGTTTTGTTGAGGAAGCCTTTCTGAGTAGAAGTTGTGTTCCAGAGCTTCTCTGACATCACGACGTGCACGGGTGCATTGCGTGCTGCTAAGGCTGCTCAGACCCAACTGGCTGCTGCTGGGGAGCAAGCCAAGCAGGTCGAGCCGTTGAGGCGCTAAGCCTTGCGCGGTGGGGGTCCGAAACTGGGAAGGATCCCATGTCCAACCCATTCCTACTTTCAACAAACCAGTCTGAAAAGGATATCCAACGCTCAAAGAAAACTGCCAAGAAACCAACTTGTTGTGAGAGGGTCCAAGCCAATTGCATATTGCTGATCTCAAGGGCAAGCGAAGCCAACGAGCCTACGTACTAGCAACCATTGGCGACCGGAAGGGGTCATTGAGAACCCAAAAGCTCATGACCTTCCCTTCCTATGGCTCTGAGTCAAAATTGCGCAAGGTCACGGTGAGCGGCAAAGCGGGTTCCTATTCACCAGGGTTGGTTGCAATTGTTTGTTTAAATACCCAGATCCTGGTTCCTTGCAAAGAGGAAGGTTAAACATGTGTTCCAGGTATAGCAGTCTACGAGCTCATAACTGGTTCTGTGTTCGACGTTTTGGGGCCGTGTCTTTTTCCTAGGCTGATTAGTCATTATTATTCAATTGAATAAACTTAGATGTCTCCTTGTGAGACGTTGCGGCTTATTCAACCACATCTTCTTCCGATGCAATTTGTCTAACACCATTCAACTGGCTTAGGAGATCGGCGGGTTGCTGAGACGAGGGACCCAAGAAATTAGCAATGCAGTTGTCCTTGTGGTCTTCGTCTACGGCAAATCGTTTGAAGGCAGATTGTTATTTGAGACATACACCTAGCCAACTGTCAATGACCGCGCGGCGCGTTGAGCGGTTCAGCTCCGTGCTTTCAGCTGGTGTTGAAGCATCGATCGCGTGCTTTGAGTCCTCCGATCGCAGGGAAGAGTTGGCAGAGCTACGGAGAAAGTCCTCTGTCGTGGCCTCAGCCAGAGGCTACTGTAGCAGTCGTGGACCCACTGATTTCCAAGATTTCGGACCGATCCTGGGTATCCTGACGAGCAACCTAGGGACCTCTTTGTGGATGCTACAGATACATTGCTTGGCAAGGTCCCTCTGTGTCCGGCAGCTATTACCCCTTGTCCTTTGGCGGGGATGTTCAGACCAGAATGATCGACTCCGAAGAGGGCTGGGCAACTGGGGTGACCTGTTGCTTCCAGTTTCCCAGCGCAGTTCACACTTTTCACGCTGCGTTTTCCCAATGTAAAAGGAGGGCATTTTGTTCGTTGTTTTTTGGATTTGTTTTTCAGGGTGGGTGGCTTTTTGGCTTTTGTGGGCTTTTCCGTGGGTTTATGTGGCTTGTTGTGGCTTTTCATTTCGCATCCTTTGCATTCACAGTTCCTCTCTGTTTTGTTTTTGCGGCTTTTTGTTGGGTTTATGCGGCTTTTTTGCGGCTTTGGCTTTTCGCATCCTCTGCTTTCCTAGTTGGTTTTTGGCCTTGGCTTCCTGCATCCTCAGCATCACCAGTTCCAGTTCCTCTCTGGTGCCCCTCGCCACCCGCCTTTCGATCCTTAGCATCACCAGCAGGTTGTGGCTCAGGCAGGCTTCAGGCAGGCAACTTGTATGGTCCAAGGCAACTCGAAGGAGATAATGGGCAAACTTGGGCTAGCTGCGGATGAGGTTTTTTTTTTAGCTCGGGATTCGTTTTGCAACATCTTGCCTCATCCTGCTAAGCATCTTTCAGGCATTCTGGAGCGACGCCTGCCTGGTGCTACCGTATGCCAAGACCTTTGGCAGCCCACCCATGATGATTGGGGAAGTGATGATTGAATTAGGGCAAAACATCTAGAAGTTGGGGGGGCGGCACCCCCCCCATGATGACTCGGGGAGTGATGATTGAATTAGGGGCAAAAAAAGTAGCAGGGGATGATGTTCGAAAAAGTGATGATTCAATTAGGGGCAAAAGAATCTAAACAGTAGCGGGGGGGTTGGGGGGGGCGGCAGCCCCCCCATGATGATCGAAAAAGTGATGATTCAATTGGAGGCAAAAAATCTAGAAAGTAGCGGGGTTGGGGGGCGAGTAGCACCTTGGTGTGGCAGGGGGGACGGCAGCCCCCCCATGCCCGCCCCATGATGTTCGAAGAACTGCACACGCGGGGGAGCCCCCTCCATGATGCTGATGATGTTGATGGGCTAGTGTAAAATACGCACATTTCGTGAGAAAATGCTGTAAAATACAGCATTTTTCTAGCCAAGACGGAAAACAAAACAAAAAATATCGACCCAGTGTAAAAGCAAGGGATTGCCTATGTATGACATGACATGATGAAAGTCCGTAGCTAAGGGAGTCCTTGTTTCGAGTTTGACAGTACTTAAAGCACATTGACAGGGTTGTTTGAAAGGTCCAATGGTGAACTTTGGTCATTGCACTGAACATGTGTGACATCCTAGTGCCATAGCAGCAGCCGCAGCCGCTGCAGGGCTTTGCTGGGTTTGCACAGGGTCCAAAACCCCCTGGTACCCATGCCTTTGGACCCCCATCATGTCGTATTGGATCAGCCAACCCCATCTTGCTTGGCTGCTGAGGTTGCCCAGGCCCAACTGGAAGCTGCCGGGGAGCAAGCCAAGGAGGTCGAGTCGTTGAGGCACGAATCCTATGTTTGTCGATGTTCGCTTTTGCACCGTGAGTTCTTCAGGATACTTCAGGCCTACAGTTGGAGATGATAAGCACTTCCGGTGTTGTTCTTGATTGCCACGTCACTTGGGTCAAGTGCCAGAGGAGCTACTTGCACCTTGCAACGCATGGATGCCGTTGTGTGAGAAGCAGTTTGCCTAAGTCCCCTTATACTTGATGATTTCTGCCTGTGCTGGCAGTTGATACGGTTTACCCGCCCGATCCCAGGGCGGAGTTGACGGAGCTGCGGCAAGAGTCAGCAGCTGCGGCCTCGGCTGAATCGAGACCCTGGTGAAGCACGAAAAGCGGATTTGGACTGTGTTGCACATTTGCAAGAGTATCTTTGAGCTTCAACTTGGACTTGCTAGATCTTGCGAGTTTCCAAGTTTCTGCATATGTGAGATGAGACAGTCTCTCTGAACAGGAGCACTTTGGTGCTAGTCTCGGTGTGCGCAGGTTGCCAAGACCCAACTGGAAGCTGCCGGGGAGCAAGCCAAGGAGGTCGAGTCGTTGAGGCACGAATCCTATATTCGCACCGTGGGCTTCTTCGGGATACTTTAGGCCTACAGTTGGAGATGTTAAGCACTTCCGGTGTTGTTCTTGATTGCCACGTCACTTGGGTCAAGTGCCAGAGGAGCTACTTGCACCTTGCAACGCATGGATGCCGTTGTGTGAGAAGCAGTTTGCCTAAGTCCATGCTGCAGTCGAGCTGCAGTGTACAACCCCTTATACTTGATGGTTTCTGCCTGTGCTGGCAGTTGATAAGGTTTACCCGCCCGATCCCAGGGCGGAGTTGACGGAGCTGCGGCAAAAGTCAGCAGCTGCGGCCTCGGCTGAATCGAGACACTGGTGAAGCACGCAAAGCGGATTTGGACTGTATTGCACATTTGCAAGAGTATCTTTGAGCTTCAACTTGGACTTGCTAGATCTTGCGAGTTTCCAAGTTTCTGCATATGTGGGATGAGACAGTCTCTCTGAACAGGAGCACTTTGGTGCTAGTCTCGGTGTGCGTAGCCACTGCAATGCTGCTTGGCTGCTGAGGTTGCCAAGACGCACCTGGAAGCTGCCGAGGAGCAAGCCAAGGAGGTCGAGTCGTTGAGGCACGAATCCTATGTTTGTCGAGGTTCGCTTTCGCACCGTGAGTTCTTCAGGATACTTTAGGCCTACAGTTGGAGATGATAAGCACTTCCGGTGTTGTTCTTGATTGCCATGTCACTTGGGTCAAGTGCCAGAGGGCTACTTGCACCTTGCAACGCATGGGTGCCGTTGTGTGAGAAGCAGCTTGCCTAACTCCATGCTGCAGTCGAGCTGCAGTGTACAACCCCTTATACTTGATGATTTCTGCCTGTGCTGGCAGTTGATAAGGTTTACCCGCCCGATCCCAGGGCGGAGTTGACGGAGCTGCGGCAAAAGTCAGCAGCTGCGGCCTCGGCTGAATCGAGACACTGGTGAAGCACGCAAAGCGGATTTGGACTGCATTGCACATTTGCAAGAGTATCTTTGAGCTTCAACTTGGACTTGCCAGATCTTGCGAGTTTCCAAGTTTCTGCATATGTGGGATGAGACAGTCTCTCTGAAAGCACTTTTTTGGTGCTAGTCTCGGTGTGCGTAGCCACTGCGATGCTGCTTGGCTGCTGAGGTTGCCCAAACCCAACTGGAAGCTGCCGGGGAGCAGGCCAAGAAGGTTGAGTCGTTGAGGCGCGAATCCTTTGTTTGTCGACGTTTGCTTTCGCACCGTGGGCTTCTTCAGGATGCTGTAGGCCTACAGTTGGAGATGTTAAGCACTTCCGGTGTTGTTCTTGATTGCCACGTCACTTGGGTCAAGTGCCAGAGGAGCTACTTGCACCTTGCAGCGCATGGATGCCGTTGTGTGAGAAGCAGTTTGCCTAAGTCCATGCTGCAGTCGAGCTGCAGTGTACAACCCCTTATACTTGATGGTTTCTGCCTGTGCTGGCAGTTGATAAGGTTTACATTTTGAGGTTTGCATTTTGAGCTGCCCGCCCCGATCCCAGGACGGAGTTGACGGAGCTGCGGCAAAAGTCAGCAGCTGCGGCCTTGGCTGAATCGAGACACTAGTGAAGCACGCAAAGCGGATTTGGACTGTGTTGCACATTTGCAAGAGTATCTTTGAGCTTCAACTTGGACTTGCTAGATCTTGCGAGTTTCCAAGTTTCTGCATATGTGGGATGAGACAGTCTCTCTGAACAGGAGCACTTTGGTGCTAGCCTCGGCGTGCGTAGCCACTGCGATGCTGCTTGGCTGCTGAGGTTGCCCAGGCCCAACTGGAAGCTGCCGGGGAGCAGGCCAAGAAGGTCGAGTCATTGAGGCGCAAGCCGCATGCTTCTTTCGGGGTCATGTGGGATGTCCTTAAATGGTAAGATCAGGGACGCCCTGAAAGGGAAACATGTGAGCCAAGAGTAAACTGTTGCTTTTGGACATACCCCACTTTGTGGCGCCCTCATGTCGACTTTTGTGGAAAAGGCTATGTTTGTGTCTTCCCATGTTTTCGCCTGCGGGTTATCAGATCGCAGGGCTTACTTGCATACCCCAAAGTACGCATGTCCCACCTGGAAGCCACAACGTATAAAATATATGCTGGTATGTCCGTTTGGGTATGCACGTAAGACCTAACTGCATAAGTCCACCCAGAGTCGAGCGTGTTTGAGATCAGTGCATTTCATCCAAATGGCACAGCGCAGCTTCGGAGACTGCCTGCGCGAAGCCTCTTCATGACGTGCAAGCGCTGCTCATGGCATATGTGCAGTGTGTGTTGGAGCCCAGCCCACACTCGGTTCCCAATGAAGGAAGTTGGGTTAACTGTGTATTAGGAGTGATTCCCCCTTTGTTGGGTGGAGCTACTTCATGTAGCTTGCTATGGTCCTCGTTCAATACAAACTCAGATTTGAAAAACCCAACTGAGGGAATGAATTGCTTGTACGTTTCAAGAGGACTGTTCAACGGCATTCCCGGATCTCCCCATAAAAATGAGTTTCGCCCCCTTTGTAGTGACTTACTTCCCATTGTGGATGTTGAGAATTTGGATTGCCTAACCTCCGTTTCGAACGGCCCAGCGGTATTTGGCGGCCGTTCTCTTCAATGCTTCTGTTTGGGAGCGGCTTTTGTTTACTGTGCCCTTGGAACGTTGTTTGTGTTGAACGCTCTTGTTTGGCACAAGTTGCTAGACATCTTCGGCTATTCAGGGAGAGGTGCTTGCATTTATGGCCCAATGGCTCACTTGTGCGCTGTGCAAAGAGTTGTTGTCTATGTGTGTGGTTCCCTAAGTTTAACACCATGCCTGTTTTTCCCATAGGTATTTTGAAGCCATCTAAGATGGGTTCCGCGTGCTTTGTTGTTTTCCTGCTGCAGGGCAGAGCTGCAAGAGCTCAAGCACAAGCCGGAGGTCCGCGAGGGTGGTGGGTTCCAGCTCGAAATGATGTTAACAACGGCCAAAGTTCACTGCATGTAGCGTAGCATAGGGATGACAAGGGAAATACCCGCCAAATAACCATCAGGACAGAGGTTACTCACCATCCAAAGTAGCTTGGGGACACAATCAAAGCTGAGCGTGGCTCATCTGAGAACTTCGGAAGGGTCCGGCGGACCGTATTCAGGGGTGCCAATTGACTAATTAATTGCATAAAGGGGGGGGGTTCCTCCGACTTGGGTCGTCCAGATTCATCAGGATTCAGCTGCCAAACTCCAAGAATGAGCCCATGGCTCAATTGCGTGCAAGCCATCCAAAAAGAAACCGGGGCCTAATGCAGGAATGGGCCTTAAGAAGGCTTGATCAACCACTTGACCGTTGAGGAGGTGTGGGTCATTGGAGCGTCCCCGGTCTTTGGTTCGACCTTGACCCCTTCAGAAAATATTGAGATAAGGATGGCTTCTCAAGTACCGAAATTCGAGGTACCAGCACCGTCCAAAGGCCATCACACTGTTCTTTTTGCAAGGTTGGCTTCTCTTCAGCATCAGCTAAAAGGCAAGAAAGGGTGTCCTTTTCTCCTGTGGCAGAGCCAACTAGTACCTAGCATTCAAAACCCAGCGGTAGGAACTCTTTTGGTTGAGTGAGCTTTCGTCTTTCAGGGGCTTCATGCTGCTTGAATAAGTGGAGGGGTATCAATCAGAGGTTAACACCAAATGGGTTTTCTTTTTTTTGTTGCTTCCGGGCAAAATCTTTCTTGGGAGTGTCTCAGAATGGGTAGTTGAGTGGTTTCGTATCTTTTGTGGTTGCCCGTCAGCAAAGCTTACTTTGTGTTGCTGCTGTTTTCATCAATGGCAAGAGGCAGGTACCTTGAGAGTTCCAGAACTAGTTTCGTAGCACTGCAGGCCCCCATGCGGTTGAAAAAGGGTAGGGGGCGGGGTTTCGGGTGCCCTACGATCATTTCAGTAGCCCAAAGTGAATCAAGCTTCGTAGATAGGAGGTTCATCCAATAATGAATGATTTGTGTGGCCACACCGCCACACGTGTTGGCTTTTGTTTGCAAAGGTCTTCTTTCAATCAAGGTCTCCAAAAGGACACCAACGGTCACATTTGTTTATCACGGTTCCACAAGATATGTCGCAACGATATTGTTGGATAGATTTGTCAAGGTCCCAAAATGCGAGTTTGTTTGTTTGTTTGTTTACACGTCCTCTGGATAAAATCATGAGGGCTGACTGCGCCAGGTAGATCAGGAGGCTTTGCGGGCGAAGGCTGGGCACGGGCCTTGGGCAAAGATTGATGTATAGGACCCGCCCCTTCCCGACCCTTTGCTGTTCTTGGTAGTTTCTTAGTGTCGTGAGCAACCTTGAACTGATTGATTGCTCAGGGGTCATTAAAGGAGGGGCTCCTTGACACATTCCCGCCAACGAGGTTGGCAAGCCCGATGTCAGTGTTCTTGGCATGCTACTTAGTAGTTGTCCACGCTTCTTTTTGGGGGTGAGGGGGGGCCCGCAAAGAGCGCACTGTTTTGCTGACAAGGGTTGGGAAGTAAAATATTGTTGGTTTCCCATATATCATACAGAGCCTAAATCTTCAGGCTTGTTTGAGGGAAACAAGGGACAATAGAGAGTATCATGGAGGGGCCTGAGGACTCTGCCACCCCAAGCCATCCATGCATCCAACTCCCCCCCAAAGCAGCGCTTGCTTCATGGAACCCACTTACTTGCCAATTGCAACTTTTGATGGGGACATCCAGTGACCCTGTGTTAAAGTGAAGCCATTTGGGGGGGGGGGATTCCTTTTCTCCCAGTTGTCTAGTGGGTTCCGTTTTGGCCCCTTTTGGCCATGTCTTCGCAATGCATAGCGAGCCAGCAGCGAGGGAGTGTAGAACGAGCGACTCCGTGCCCCATACGGTGCTTGGCTGGGTTCCTATTTCACTATCTCACAATATATACTGCTGGTTGCCCTTTTAGATGTTCACAGCCAGTGACAACCAACGCAAAGATGTTTTATTGCTGCCCTCCCAGTAGTTGTGGTTTCCATCCATAGCAGATTGGGGGTGGGCATTCTTTTAGGTAACCCTTGAACGTGGTTTGCTGATGTTTTGACAATCAAGGGACCGGCCCCTCGCAAAAGTGCCTTACCCACCAGAAAAGGTCCTTGGTATTGTTAAGGTACTAGCAGTTCAGTTTGCCAGCTTTCCTTTGAACCATTCTCTTGGTCTTGGAGAAGTGTTGCTCTATCATGGGGCAGTTTATTTTGCTCTCCCCCACCAAACATGGAAGCGCGCAGACCTCTGCAAGACTATGCTTTTGCCGGACTTTCAAGCATGCTTGAGGGTCGGATGGAGACTGCCAGTGAAGCTCGCCACAGCTGAGCTTCGGTTTTAGTTCGATGGGTGGGTGGCACGTCCAGAGGTGCAGTTCGGACTGCTTCTCAAATGCGCGCAGCGTGGCAGATTCCAAGTCGCAACAACTTACGGCAGGAACCCTGGAAGCATAGGGAGACGTAGGGAGATATTCGGGAAATGGAGTTCATGTTTAATCGCCGTTTCATGTTCACTACCACGGTCGTGAAATCGGTTTGATGTTGGAGATTTTGCAAGATTGCTCCTGACATTGTGCCGCCTCACATAATTCTCACATTATGTTCTAATCCAACGTTGCTTAAACCATTTGGATGTATAGGGCATTCCTAACATGCTGAAACCATCTCAAGCCACTCGCACTTAAAATAGTTCAATTGCGCGATGTGTTTCTCCTCCAGCACGTTTCGTGGTTGGCACCTGGCCCCCAAACACATTCCGCCAGGATCGCGCGGCGGCGGTAGCGGAGCTGCACGGCCAGGCAACGCACGCGGCGCTGTCGCGACGGGAGGAGGCCGGAGCCGCATGTCGTGGATTCCTGGTCTTTGTACTTTTCCGGGAAGCCCTCAGATCCGCAAGAATTCAATAGTGAGTGTTTGTCAGCTTGGCTTTTCAACTTCGCTTGACTTCGAGAAAAATGTTCATCATGGGTTAGTTTCTATCAAACTTGGACGCGCGAAGACCTCTGGAACGCGTCGCTCCTTGTGGAAAGAGAGCCTAGGTAGTTGTGACTTGTGTGTTTGGAGGGAGACTAAAAAAGCAATACTCGCTTTTGCGCACCCGTGTTTTGAAGGCACAAATCCGCAAGTCTGACTCCTCTCAAGGGCATGCTGAAAGTGAGTGGCTGCCCTTCTTTCATGGGTTGGTGGTAGCCATGTACCCACGTTGGGGGGGTAGTAGCTTGAGCCCTGCTATCCTCTTGGGGCCCGGCCAAACGAATTGCCTCCCCTCAATTTGGTTGGCTTTCTTGTTGGTTTTCTTGTTGGTTTCCTTGTTGGTTTCCCTCAAACACAAATCCCAAAGGTGTTTCTCCTAAGAAACACCCAAAACCAGCCCGTCCCTTCAAAAAGGTCGAAATGGAGGGCCCCGCACGAATTTGCTGCTTTCTCAGGGTTCCCTTCGAACACCAAAAAGACACAGAAAACACTCAAAAACCTTCTCAGCCGCCCAACAAGAACCATTGCAGCCAAATGGTGCTCAAAACCATGAAGAACAATCCAAAGAAAACCTCCAAAGGCATCAGCCTCAAGAAATGCCGTGAGTATATCTCAAAAAGGCAAAGGGAACGTCACTTTCAGCAGGCCTCGCGCCGGTGCTTCGCCTCGCAGCTGGCAGCCCACTACGAGCAGCTGCTGGTCTTGGCGCTGCGTGCCTGGCGAGGCGCCACCGCCCAGGCGCGAGCTTCGGCGCGAGCTGAGCGGCTGGTTTTGTCTTTGGATTCTTTCTGTTTTGTCTTGTTGTCGTGTTTGTTTGGTCGGGGTGCCGGGGTACCACGGGCATGCGGGCTTGGGTTAGTTGATGCAAGGGAGGGTGTGAATCCTGGGTTGACATCAAGGGGAAGTTAAAAGGAAACCCACCCCAAAAAAGGGGTTCCTATGTGAGACCGTCGCCAGTGTTTCTCTCTTTGTTTGAACACTACCAGCCACCCCCTGACAGCACTTGAGGTTTTGGACATAGGATGACACATGCTGGTTAAAGGGAAACACAGAAGGTTTGTGGAACGTAGGCTGGTTGGTTCCTACTTCTTTGTTTCCAAGGAGCCTCTCTTTCGGAAGTTATGATGGATCTGTCAATAGGAAAGCCTTTCAGTAGCATCACAGAAGTTGGCCATTCAGAGACTCAGATGTTGATTTCTTGGACGTCCAAGGTGTAAACGAATGGTCATGCTGGACTCCTGGCGACTGATTTAGTTGCGGAGCCCATAGAACGGGGGCTCATATACCTGGGTAAATTATAGCGAGCTCACCCAAAGAGCTCACCTATGGTGAAGGCTCTTGAATTCAGGACTCCTTGCTCCACATTATTGGATCATATTAATTGTTTAGACATACATGTACTGTCACACTTTGAAAAAGCATGGGATCAAGGCTTCAAACCATACGAGCCCTACCCCAGTCATCTTTAAATATCCCAGCGTTTCTCAAGGATTGATGTCGATCCCAGGCTACAGATTTAGGTATTTGCCAGAAGGGAGTCGTAGTGCCCCTTTGGTTCACCTTATGAGTACGCTCGGGAAAAATAAAACAAAAACATTAGGGCTGTATATAGTTGGTATGGCCTTGACGAGTGCCAGGGAGGGGTCATGCCATCAAGTTGGGTCCGCCACTCCCCAGCACTGGTTGACCGAGGTACATGTACCTCCCTATTCAGCCATTTTGAGCATCACTTATTGGCAAGGAGAAACGATTCCTCATGGGGTGGTTTTTGACGCTCAAAGATGGTTTTTGATGGCTTGAAGGATCGCTTGTTGGCTTGTGGATTGGGCCCCGCTTAAACCGCACAGCTGTTGTGCCAACACATAACCATCCTCAACTTAAGGGATTCCACGTGCCGACTTTATGCTTTCCACAACAACCTCCGCCCAAAGACCTTCCAAGCAGTTTGGGCTTGCCCTTCAAGATGTCTTGAGGAACTTGAGAAAGTTTGTTGCCAAAAAATACGTTGCTTCATCTTCTGTAAACCCCTCTCTCTTCATTGCATGGGTAGGTGACAGTATTTCCCTTTTCAAGGCTTTTAAAGCAACCTTCAGAGCACCAACAACTCGCACACACACCCGCACGCAACTGGTGCGCCAGGAGTTGTCCCTAAGGGATGCCGCGGCAGAAGTTGAGCAGTTGAGGCGAGCGCGGTGTGGTTTGCGGTTTTCGCGCCCAAGGATCTCGTGGCAAACTTTGGTGGCGAAAAAGACAATAGAGCAGAAAATAGGTTTGGTTTCCCTTAGTTTCCCTTCAGTCCTGCCCTTTGCTTTAGTGATGATTTGGGAGCCGGGACTGGAAGAGAGGGCATCGACGACCTGGAAACTCACCCTCAACGGGACGGCCAATGAGGCTTCCTTTTTTCGGCAAAATAGGTCAGGTTGGTACCTAGGGGCTTGATGCCTAGGAAACCGGATGCATTGATATTTCGAGGGCAGGAAGCGGCTCCAGTGTTTGTTCAGTTCGCAGGCGAGAAATGCAGGGCTTGAAGCAGGACCTCGCCCACAAGGATCGGACCATTGGGGGAGGGGGGGGGGAATTTTGCGTCGGGGTTTGCCTGCCAGACCCCCATGTTTGGAAAATAACGTGGGGGCCCTTCAGGGTGTAGCAACTAGGGTGGTTCAACTCCATGTTCAAAAGCAAACTCGGCTTGTGGGAGTTGCTCCAAGCTGATTGTGGGGTGGGGTCCACTTCAAATCAACCCAAAAAGGCATGCAGTCTGATTCCCGTGGCAGGATTGTTGTGACCACAAGGTGAGAATTGATTGATACCCGTCATATACCCTTGTTCACATGGGGACACTTAATTCTCCTTGTGGATCAAACCCTCTTACTCTAAATACGGGACCTTTGCAATGGGAAGGCTTACGGCTCAGGCCCCAGACGAGCAAAATAGGGTGGGAGTCCCAAATAGCGAGGGTGGCGCTTTTGCCATGGACAAGTCAGAGGAATCCAGTACAGCAATCACTGGGTGGAAAGCCCTTGTGTCCAGCTTCGGGTCATAGATTAACAGGACAAGCCAGTCTGGAAATAGAAGACCTTCTTTTGGTCGTGCTCAAAGGAAACCAAGAGGAAACCTGAACCGGCCCCAAAGGATGACAGAGACGGGGTCTATGTCACCTGGAATGGTGACCCCACGAGGTGGCAGGAGTATGTGAAACGGGTTCGCTTGCAGTATGAGAGAACCCAGTCCAAGCGGTGGAGGTTTCTTGGCCCAGAGCTTGCCTCACGGCTCACAGGCCGGGCTTGGGAGGTGGCTAGTGCAGAGCTAGATCATCGTGTACTTTCTCGACCAGATGGAGCTGCATACCTGCTGAAGTTCCTGGAGAAGAAGCTCTGCAAAACGCCGATTCCGGAGACTGGCCAACGACTGGAAGAACTGTTCATTCGCCTGAAGAGAGGCCATGGGTTGTCAATGGCAGAGTGGGCATCTCAAGTTAGAGAGGCCTGTTTCGGAGAGTGCCTAAGCTTAGAATCACATGGAAAGCCCAAACTATTGTGAATTGAACTGTAAATTTTGCTTGGGGACCCTCAAAGACTCAAACATGCTTGGTGCTTATATAAATCACTTGTTTTACACGTGTTTCCTTCTGTTTTCCATCGCTTTCAGTCTGACAAGGGACAAGTCTAAGATCTGTTGTTTCCAAGGGATTTAGAGGAGAGGATGTCCCAAACACGACTTAGTGAGATGGGGTCCCATTTGAGCAGGTGGTTTGGTTCCTACCAAAGGTAGTAAGATAAGGCCTGTATAAACCTTTACGACTTTTGGTTGCCCTGAAATTGTCGAAACACCATCCCGCAAGGAGTCTCATTTGTTTCCGCCGTTTCCTCCTAGTGAATGCTTCTGCGAGTCCTGGTTCTTCTGCCAGCTGCCTATGCTGACCGCCTTGCTGTAAATGGGTTGGGGGTAAATTCAAAGTATTGAGCCAGGGACGGTTTGTTTCGTGCGCGGCCTTGTTTCTTTACCTTGCTTAGCCATCCTTTGTCGAAGGAGAAATCAAAGGATCCTTTTAGCCGTTCTACGCATTCAGGGGATCCTTTGTTATTCCTCCTGGACCGGCGAAGGTACACAAACCCTGGTTTGAAGCGGGAACTCTAGACGAAGAATTTGCACAGCCTGGGCAAGCAGACGATTGACCGCTTTGTGGGCGGTGTGGGCTACCATGGTTCTCTTCCGAGGTAATCATAATAAAAGTACATTATGCATTGCACACGTGTCAATCACAGGCTACGCTAACACACCCAGGGATTCAATACACTGAACATATTTGGCTATCTTTGTTGGCCCTGCTGTCCGCTCGCACAGACGCTGTGCCAGCGACATTTTCCGGCAGATGCGACGGATGTATTACTTCACGGGTCGGTTGTCAAGACCTTGTTTTCTCTTAGAATATGTTTGAACGTGCTTTACACAATGCCAATCTATCAACCCATCTAATTTCACACATCCGTGGTGCTGTGGCCAAAATTAATCAAGCAATTGGACATGGTTAACATGGCCTAAAGGCAATTGTCATTGGCCCCCTGAAGACGATTGTCCCTTCGAGGGAACCAGTCTCAAGCTCCCAACTCTGCTCCCCCAAAACAAAAACGACAAACAGTTTGGGGTCAATGAGACCAGTAAGATTGCAGGACCTCAAATGTGCAGATTTGCTACTTGCCTCCCCCCCCATTTTGAGACAACGCCGTCTACCCGAAAAAGGGTTCCGCTTTGCTGGCTCCACCGCACTTTTACGACCCACGCGGCTGCGAGGCCCAGCCCTCGAAGGTGGTAGAACCCGAGGCGGCGGACTTCGTGTGGCAATTCCTCGAGGCGCGCACGGCTGATTTCCTGGGCGGTTTGAACTGACAAAGATTCAAACCGGCTAGTCTTGGGGAGAAATTGCCCCCAGGTTGCTTGCACCAGCCTGCTTCCGAGGCACCGAATCCGCTGCCCGACGTGGTCGCAGGGGCCTCCACGGAGACCGTTGGCTTGCCCAAGCCTACAGACTTCGCGGAGAGCGCAGTCCAGCTGGCACTGCTGCGAAGGGAAGAGGCCGATGCGGATTCCTCACGTGTAGCCCGTGAAAAGGTTTGGGGAAGCGACACGCATTCCCTGTCTGAATCTCCCAAATACCCACCCTGTTTTGCAGGGCTTAAGTCTGCACGAACCCGGTGTTCAAAGGCAAATACCTCGCTTTTTGGCTGGGTTGACATGTGGGGGGTGCCCTGAATCGAAAGCCTCCCAAGCATGGCGGTGTTTCGTTTTTACCCCCCTTCAAACACCAAGCCACACCAAAGTCCCCTGTTTTAAGACACGGTCCCTTCAAATTATTCGCTCAAAGAAAGAGGGAGACTTCGTCGTATCGCAGAGGTGGCCAAAATTGCTGATTCCCACAGTGCTGGTGTCAGGCAGTGGGGGCATGGCTCCTTTGAACCGGTTGACGAAAACCGCATCTGTTTTTTGGTCAAGGTTCCGTGCACTTCCCTTTCAATTTGTTGAATCAAAAAGAACATGTCGAACATGCATATTTATTGAGTCATGTGTTTAAGGAATAAATACCGGAAGTTCTGCGTTACCCCGCAATGCCTGGCCCTGGCATTAATTTGCACACAATAGATGAACCTTTGAGCGAGCTTCATTTTGGATTCCATGGGTATTATTTGCTGCACCTTCGCCTCCAGTGGCCTGGGTTCAAAGCCCAGGACTCGCTGTAGCGGTTTACACATTTGTTTGTTCACTGGGAAAGGCGGCAAATCAATGCTCCTAGTGCTGTAACCAAAAGTCATAGCAGTGTAACCAAACAAAAAAAGGAGGGCATGCAAAATGGGATCTGTTTTGAAATAATTGGTGATTAGTTCAAGGTTCACTGAATATGAACCAGAATCAAACATATTGTTTGGTTGTGAGGGGGGGGGTGGGGGAAGTAGTAAGGCTGAAGGAGTTCGAAAATTTGGTCGTGGACGGGTCAGCTCCTGCAAAGAGCACGTCCTGGGAGCACGCAAACTGGTCGGTTTTCTGATCTTACACCCACAAACTAAATGCACCCCTTTCTGCTAGAAGCTAGGTTCCAGGGCTAGCGAGCCGCAAGAAGTCATGTTCCATCCACTTGTGGTTTCCTCTGAAGCGGAAAATGAACAACTACCCTCCCACCAACAAACATGTAAGAGCACAGACCGTTTTAAAAGGCAATTTTCATGTTGAATGGGTTCCAGTGGGGAAGGGTGGCTCCCAAGAATCATTCATGTTTTGGCCGGGTGCACTTTTGACCACTTTGGAACTCGTGCGCAAGGGTTCCTGGCCACTTCCACTGTTGACAGTCGTTCCGGAGAGCCTCATGAGGGCTTTAAAGCCTTCCTGATCTGTCAGGGTTGCAGGCTGATTCCGAAAGATTTTTGCCGGCTGCTCGGATATTTCTTGGGCATGTTCGGGTGGTTTTGAAGGAAGCCAAGCATGTTGAGGGTCCCCCTTGCAACACACCCATTTGAGGCATTGTCCTGTGACATCCTCAAGATGACTCTTGAACCGGTCGTGCACAGGGGTTCCCTCCTTATCAAGACTATTTCTTGGCAACCTTCAGCTTCATGGACCCTAGTTTCTGCCAGCAGTCGGGTCGGAAAGCCGCAAGTCGAAAGCGCAGGCGCAGCGGCGGCTCTTGGCATCGCTGCTGTCCTCGCAGCTGGTGGCCGTGTTGAGCCTGGCCTTCCGGGCCTGGCAAAACGCCCAGGCGCGGCGAAAGGGGTTGAGCTGTCCAACAGCGGCAATCTCTGAAGGACCCGCTTGAAGGAAGGCAACTTCGGAGGGAGTAACCGAGTAACCTCATTTTCAGAGGGTTTCCAGAGAGGCAGTTTGGGCTTGTCTACCCCAACTAAAGGAGCACCCAGCTAGTCAGGCCCCGTCCGAAGTGTTCTCAATTATTCTTTATGGGGGCAGAATCAACAAGTCCCAACCTGCCACATGTTCTTTTCCAAACAAACCCACTAGTTCCGGCTCGCTTGTTTCAGCCTCTTGGCGGGGTCCCCCAACTGCCCCCAAACATAGACCACAGCTTACATTGTTTTGGAGCTTGGTCTTTTTTAGACAGCAACGTGCACAAAATGTATGGCCAGGTTTTCTCAAGTGTTGGTTTCCTTTTTAGTGGCCTACAAAGTGTTTTCCAAGATGATCGACACCTTCTTGTTAGACTGCCTAAGAGTGTCAATCGTTTCCTCCTCGGAGGTACAAGAGTGCTGATGGGGGCACTTGTCCAGATGGTTAAGTCACCTTGTACAAGATATTCAGACTTGGAAGGGCTCTCTGGAAAATCAACTGCCAACAAAGGCAGGACACTTTTCCCTTCTGGCATGCGCTCTCCCGGGTTTAGCAGTAATGTTTAGAAGTTGGTTTGGAGAGATGTCAGTCAGGCCTTGCCTGACACCAACATAGCCAGCGTGCAAGGGAGAGTCTTCATGGTCCAAGGGGCTGCCAAGCCAGCTTGACTTTGCTGGGTTCTTTTTTTAGTTGATTCATCGAAAGGAATCCAACAGGGGATGGACAATGAGTTGTTTGCTCTGGACCTCATGTATAGCGCCACAATCTTCCTCATGGCGCCTCGGTGCTTTCATGGTCCCATTGACCAGACAAAGGCCGGTTGCTTGTAGTGGGCATGTACTACAGTCAAGCTGTTGTTTCTTTGTATTGTGCTGTTGCTTCCAGGGGCCCAACAAGCAACGCCACGCCCAGCATTGGGCCCTTGACGTATCTCATTGATACCCACGCGAACTGGGGATGAGAAAGGCTCTGCATAAGGTGTTTGTGGGACCATCCCCAAATAAACCCGTACCAGGATGTTTTGAAAATGGCAGCAGGGCATGTCAGTTTCAGTCTTGAGAACATCCCAAGGTTTACTGTGTGGGGGTGCAATGGGAGGGGGGGAGAGGGAGACTTGTGCTTAATCTCATGTTTTGTTTCCAACATGTGAGTAAGAATCAGGGTTAGAACTAAGGGAGACCAGACATTCGTATGAAGGTTTTGATCCACCAACTCATCGGTCACGGTCCCAGTGCAACCCCCTTTGATTCAGTTGTTCAGGAGGTTCATGCATAGGTTCGAAACATTTTGAAGCACCCGGGCAGGGTGCCCTCAAACACAGGTGCCTGAAAGCTGCTGTTCAAGACAAAGCCTTCATCCTGCCAATTGAACTACGTGTTTGCAGCGGTGTTACAGTAGGACTTACGGAAAATCGCAACATCGGGATCGGTGGATTTTGAGTTCAAGTGGCCGGATCTCACGCAGGATGCCTCCGGCATGGAGAGGCAGGCGCTTCTGCAAAAGGATGAGCTGCAGAAGCTGAGGACAGCGGCTTCGGTTTCGAGTTTGGTGTTTTGGGATTTGTGCAGAAAACAAACGCTCGCATTGGTCCGTAAGCTTGTCTTGTTTGGGTTAAATGCCTTTCAACATGCCCTTAATTAAAAAAAAAATGTACTGCTGTTAGTCACATATTTAAATCGTCGATTGTGTTGCGAACCTATTGATGGAGGGGAATCAGGAAAAGCTGTCTTTGCTGAAGTGGCAGTTTTACTATTTGCAGCTAAATTACCCGTCACTTTCCCGCAAAGACGACAAATGGTTCCCTTTCGGGGTATGGGTTGGTGTAAGCTTTGATAAGCGTCGATTGGTGTCATAAGAATGTTTTCCGTTTCCTGAGGTGTCCGTTGCCAATTGCCAGCCTTCTAGCTTCCATGGCCTCCTTTGTCATTAGGTACCCCGCAGGCACAGGACCCTAGAAGCATTAATGGTTGTCCTTGGTTTTCTGGGTATCCTACAAATCTCTGTTGAGACAGCTTCCAAAGAAAACAGGTACTTGTTTGGGGAATACTGGAAATGGATCCCACAACAGACCCGCTGATGTGAACTCCGGAAAGATATAGAAGAGGACCGTACCAATCAAGGATGGCTCTGCTTCATAATTGCTTCATGTCATGGGCATTCATTCCTCCGAACTAATCCCATGTTACTATTAGCAGGCGCTATTAGCCGGGGATGCTTCGCCTATCGGGACGGGCTAACGGCTGCGACCCGTGTCCAATGATCCTGGTCCAGGGTGCCATGGACACACAGAAAGGCCGTAGGGTACCTGGATTGTTTGGGCCGGAACACAAAGTTGGCTTTGTCCTTTGGCTTCTCCAGGTTTGGTTTTCCGTGTCCTTTGAAAACAACTGTTGCCTTTGGTTTCCTTTCGCTGTTCTTTTGGTTTCTAGGCGGTTTAGCAGGTCTACAAGAAGGGTTGCCCTCAAACAGGACAAACCTCAAACATTCGCTTTTGGCACTTGCAGTCGTGATTGGTTCCATCTGAGATTGGAAGGGTTTGTCCTTTTGAGACGACATTGGACTCGGTTCTAGTTTCCTCTTGCAGTTATGACCCAAACAATAGCACACCATGTTTGCCCTAAGATCATGACATAAAAGCTCGCACCCCCATTCTAATTGTCTGCCCTGTCTCGGAACCAGACCAGGTGACCAGTTGAAGCGTCATAACCCTCCCCTTACACCATCGGTAAACTTTCACGGAACCCAAAAGAGTTGTGCGCCAAGAGATGTCCCTGAAAGTCAGGGCTTTGGGGGGGGAGGGGCGTGTCCTTAACATCCAGGGAGGAATTGAGCAGGGGCATGCCCCCTACTCGAAAAACCCGCCCCGCCCCCATTTTGCGTTCCGGTGTCAACCCCTGACGAGAAAAGAATCAGAAGGTTTTTGAAAATACCAGGCATTTGAGTATGCAGGGTGTCGAATAGTACATCTCTGTTCAAGATTTCCCTACCCCCCCCCCCCTACCCCCCCCAGTGCTCTACCCCTTGCAGGACGCAGCTCGAGCAACAGAAGGAAGCGCCGAGCGTCCGCAGCTGAGAATGTTTGCCTTGGCGAGGCGCCCTGACGCCAACACGGCAAGCCAAGTAACACGCCAATCCAAAGCTTGCAACATGCGGGTCTGTCTGAGTCTGTCTCCTAAAGTTGGGGCACCACCAAAAGTGGGGCTTGCGTGGATTGACCCGGGGAAGTGCTCCAGCCACAGGTCGTGTTGGTAGGCGTTTGTATCATTCAAGGCCCAAAAAAGATTGAACGTTTCCTGGCCTTTGCTCAGCCCAGCGTGAATCAACCCAAGAAATGTCAAGTAGCAGGAAGGCGGAGTCCCATTTGCCTTCTAGACTGTAAATTTTGGCAGTCTTGGCCAACCCCATAGTTTGATATGGCCGAGCAAAGTTTACAGCTCCCGCACGAATTCGCATGCTTTCCAGAGGCCCATTTATGGACTTGCCCTTTTCTGCAGATGCCCATGTTGGTTCCCACACAACCCCAATATTTGGTTGTTCTTCCCCAGATAGCTGGAAATAAAGAGGGGAAAGTGATTTGCGAGATTGACAGCAGGGTACTAGTGGGCATGCAGTTTGGGGTGTTGGTGGAGGTGCTTTGCGAGAGTGACGGCCGGGTGCTACGGGGCATGCAATTTGGGCTGCTGGTGGAGGTGCTGTTTTGCAAGAGTGACGGCTGGGTACGGTGCTGGGGGCATACAGTTTGGGGTGCTGGTGGGAACCAGCGTCTTGAAGCCTAGGAGGTGCTGTTATGCGAAATTGACGGCCGGAAGGCCGAGTGATAGGGGGCGTGCAGTTTGGAATGCTGTTTTGCGAGAGGTGCTGCTTTGCGAGATTGACGGCTAGGGGGATGCAGTTTGGGGCGCAGTTTTAATTTTCGAGATTCACGGCCGGGCGCTAGGGGGCATGCAGTTTGGGGTGCCGGTGGAGGTGCCGCTTTGCGAGATTGACGGCCGATTGCTAGGGGGCATGTAGCTTGGCGAGATTCACGGCCGGGTGCTTCGGGGAATGCAGTTTGGAGCGCTGGTGGAGCAAAACAGGGGGGATGCAGTTTTCAGGTGATGGTGGGGTGCTGCTTTGCAAGATTGACGGCCGGGTGCTAGGGGGCATGCGGTTTGGGGTGTTAGTGGAGGGTGTTGTGTTCTAGCTTTTCTTGGCCTTATCATGGCGCAACATCGTTAAAAAGCTTTTAAAAAAAGGATTGCATTAGCGAAAACATCTGGTGTTCAGCATGGTGATAATGCTAGACGCACCGATGGATTAAGGTTGTAGCTGCATGTATCTCTGGGATATTAGGCCACATCTGACGGTTATATCACCTTCCAGGCAACGTGCCGGTTCATTTCATCCCAGATCATATCCATACGAGAATTCCGTCTGGCCCATCCTTGCCTGAGGTTTGAGCTTTTTTGGTGGATCAGTTCGGGTTGTTTGTGGTCGTATTTCATATCCCGTATTTCTTAAATGATACCTCCTTAGCAATTTTCGCTTGCTGTTTGCGGCATTGACGGCCGGGTGCTAGCGGGCATGCAGTTGGGCGTGCTGGTGGAGGGGCTGTTTTGCGAGATCGCGATTGACGGGCAGGGTGCTCGGGGACATGTCTGGTGCTGGCGCAGGTGCTGCATTGGGGTGCTGTGGGCTGCTGTTTTGACGCGCATGTATGGACGGCAAGGTGCTGTTTGGGGTACTCCTCGGCATGCTGTTGGAGAGTCTTGGCGAGATTGACGGTATCATCATGATGTTGTCCGCATCATCATGATGCTGCTGAATCCATTCGGACATTGTTGCTGCCGAACTGTCGCGCGTAATGGTTCGTGGCTGGTGTGTCATCATGGTGTTGTCAGGCGCGTCATGGTGCTGCTGAAGTCACTGCGATGCCGCGTTATGGTTGGTGTGGTAGCACCATGATGCTGTCAATATCATCATGATGATGATGCTCAATTTCATGACGCGGCCTTCGCCATCACCATGGTGCTGTTTGCATCACCATGATGCTGTCCGCATCATCATGATGTCGTCGAACTCATCAGGGCGTCGTCTCTGCCTTTTTTCTGCGCGATACGATATGTAGCGCGGAATCGTCCGTGGCTGGAATACCAGCATGATGCTGTCAACACCACCATGGCGCTGTCAACATCAGCACCGTGCCGCGGGAACCATTATGATGCTGCGTCCTGGTTCGCAGCCATGGTATGCTATCTGGGGTCTATGCTGGTGTATTTTTCCGGAACATGCTTTAACATCATACGGTCCATGTTTGAGCAACTTTCGTCTTGCCGGGTTGGTAAAGGTTTTTTGCGTCCTTGAGATCCGACTGCGTACGTATTTCATCCATAGGTTACCTTTAAACAACTTGTTTTGGGGAGATGTCCATTTGACGTCATTCATAGCCACGACTCCAGGTTTACTCGGAATCACTACTGGCAACGGTTAAATTGTGTTTGTTGCGCGAAAAAACACAGATTCAAACTGAGCTGCCCTTAGTGCTTAAAGGTGCTCGTAGGAGACGAGCAGGTTTTTTTGTCACAGAGGGGCGTCTCCAGGTTGAAGGCACCCCTCCCTTCTCGAGCTTGAGCAAAACCAAGTCTTTCAGGGGTTTCCCGATCCGATGGCTTGTCAGCCGAGGCGTTGCGGTACCTGCACCGCGCCTTCGCAGCCTGGCGCGAAGATCAGGCAAGCCCTGATTCGGGGGTAAAACGGGCACAAGTCGTGATGGATCCAACATTTGTCTGAAGTATTGGAAAGCGTGCAATGAGTTTCAATCGGAGACCCAACTGATTGGTGGAAGTAAAAAGTAACAAACCGATGATGCCCACCAAGCGGTCCAACCAACCAAAATCCGATTCTATTTTGGCACTTTCCTTAGTGACCTCACACCGTACGTTTTGACGTTGGTATCGCCCGTCGCCAAAACGCGCGTTTCAGAACTCCCGTTTTGCACGTTTTTTTGGAAATATGGCAGTCTGGCGATTGCTGGGCGACTTAGATGTCTCGTTTGCCCTGGAATAAAAGCATATGTGGCCCTACTGGCCAACTTTCTAAAAGCTCTACGGGGCAGTCGTTTGCACGTCCGGCGACTTAGATTCTTTTCTTGCCCTGCAGAGGCCCCCGAGTTGCTTGCTTGCACTCAGGCTCTCCAGATGCTAAATGTTGGTTTGAGTGTTTTTTCCAGTCCCGGAAAACGCATATGTATGCTTCGCGGCTGCCCAGAGGCCCCGAGTTGTTTGCTTGCACTCAGGCTCTTCAGATGCTAAATGTTGGTTTCAGTGCTTTTTCCCAGCCCCGACAAACGCATGTGCATGCTTCGACGTCGCCCAGATGCCGCCGAGTTGCTTGCTTGCCCTCAGGCTATATGTTGGTTTGAATGCTTCTTCCCAGCTTACGTTTCGAAACTCGGCTGGTGGCCGCACAGTGCAAGATGGGCTGCATGTTTTCTCCGGAGTCTGCAAGAAGCATTAGGGCCTTGCGCCTGGTGACCGCACAGCCACGTTCCACAACGCGCGTTTTGGCATACGTTCCAGAACGCACGTTGTGCGCGGTGCGTTTTAGGGCTACTAAGGTACTTTCCCAGTTGCGCAGTGGATTCCACCCCTTGTTTAACCCCTCTGGGAATTGCCGTTCAACCCCTAGAGCCGGAAGCAAGAAGGCGAAGGAAGCCAACCCCCAGTTCCCAACCGAAAACGCGCGAGGCTGCCGAGGCCTTGGAGCGCCTGGCCGCGCAGCACGCCAGGGAGCTGGAGCTGCAAAGGCGACGCCGTCAAACCCCGAAAAAAGGGGAAGGCAGACATGTGAGAGACGCGGCGCGAGGTTTGAGTCAGAGTTTACTTTATGGACAATGGTGAGTTCTGATAAATCGCTATCCTGCCGCCCGGAAAAGTGAGATGTCTTCAACAGACGGATCAACACTCGAAGAGGTTTGTTCGTGTTCCAGTTGAAGGTCGGGTCTCTGCAATTCACTCCAGGGCAGGTTGCAACAGAACGGTGCTAGGCGTGTTTCCGCAGCTTCATGGCATGGAAAAAACACCATTTCGGACTCGGGCAAGTGGCATGATCGCCAGTGCGCCTCGCAGATGTGTTGCTTCTTCGCAAATATGCCCACACACGGCATTTTGCCTTTTTGACCCTGTTGATGTTTTGCAGGTTTGGCCCTTCGCCAGCTAAACAGAACATTTCGAAAGTCTTGGCGTTGAGAACACCTTGGCTCAAGGTTTAACATCATGCCGTTCGGATGTTGGAGTCAACTGGCGAGATCCCAACGCTTGTACCAGCTCAGGCAACCCCCCCTTGAATGAAAATTAGTTTTTCAGTTTTCAAATGACATCGGGATGCTGAGATGCAATTGGCGTTTCTGAAGCACTAGGTGACCCGATGACAAACACTCCGAAAGTTTGCATTGGCTTTGGATTAGGCGCAAAGGCATATGTGGAAACAGGAGTTGATCTTGCTTTGAGCAGGTGGATGACACATGCTTGTGTATCATGTTTGCGTATGCAAGTTGTCCTCATGGAATGCATGCGTGGGCTGCATTCAGGACTTCAAACCGGCACATTGAGACACACCTCGCAGTGGGTGACTTTATTGGGGACGGTTGGAAGGGCAAGCACGAAAGAAGTCAACCGACTGGATGCGAACTATCCAATCACTGCCAAGAGACTTTGAGTCTGACTCGGAGCAGTTAAACCGTGGACCTTGTTTGAGCCAATTTATTAGTGTTCTGCTAGATGCTAGAGAGGATGGTGAAAGCCGTTTTCCCTTGTCCTTGAAGGGATCAAGTAATAGCGTTTGTGGTTGCAGCACAATTTCCAAGGGAGCCAGCATCATGCCTTCACCAAACTTGTTTTTGACAGCCATAGAGGAGTTGTTGGCAGCTCGTTTGGGGTTGTCTCCAAATTCCTGTTCGAGACCAAGCAAGATAGTTTGACTGTGTTCAGAGTGGCCCCCGAAACAAATCCTTGACCCCTGAGAGTGTGACTAAGATGAACCAAGATTCCGCGACGACAAGCGAGTCAGCTCGACACATACCCCTGCGACGTTTTCAGTGCATCCCCACCCCCGGGCGCGACCCCCCGATAGAGGGACTCTTTCGCACATATGTGCCTTTTTGTGGGCACAATTTGGGGGGCAAAGCCACGCCTTGTCGAGTTGGGGGTATCATGCTGCCGCCAGGGCAGAGCTTGCGAGGCCGACAGAAAACGAGGCGCGGTCGGTTCAAAGTTGACGCGCTGACAGAAGGCTACCAGTGAGCCCAGGATTTTGCAGTGGTCTTGTATGGTCTTGTTGCTTGGGGGGTTGGCTCTAGAAGGATATGGAAACAATAGTGGAACGAAGTAGAGCCTAGCAAAACACAGAACCGGAGAGCCGGTAAAGCAATGCAAGACAGTGAAGATCTCTCTCTCTCTTTTTCTCTCTGTTTGTTGTTTTTTCTCTCTCCCTCTCTCTCTCTCTCTCTCTTTTTCTCTCTCTCCCTCTTTTTTTCTCTCTCTCTTTCTCCTTTTCCTGACTTCCAAGTGTTGCCATAGTTGTACAGGCGGGTTCTAAAGCTTTGGAAAAAGCGTCGCTCATGAGCGCGGAAGCCGCTTGAAAGGTCCGGAGAACTGAGTCGAATAGGGACTGACGAAGTCCTTATGATTGTCCCTTTGCTTAGCTATGGAAATTGTGAAGCGATTTGGTTTTGTGTCAGAGTCACAAGTAGGTCATGGTGTTCTTGAAAGTCTGTAGCTTGACGCTCGCCGCCCCAGCCGCCGTCCCAGTTGCCGCCGGCCCATCCGCCGCCGGCCCACTTCTAACACATAAATACGGCAAAAAAAAGAGGAAACAGTTCTGCGCAGGATCCTGATCGAGAGAAAGAAAAAAACGACCGACGTAGAAAGGAGGCCTCACCAGGGTGTGCCCTTTCAGAATTTTGGCAAGTTCCCAACAGCATTTCAGCCAAGCCTTCTTCGGACATGTTTAAAGCTACAGCTGTTGACCAAGCCTTTCCCCCACCCCCACCCGCTTCTGAGTTTCCCCCCAACCAAGTGAATGTCCAAACTCCTGTTCATAATATGTTAGGTGTTGTCTCTTGGAACAGCTTGAGGGAATGCACTAAAAGTGGTGGACCTCTTCCAAAATTCAAGACTCCCACTGTCCGAATGCCTGTTTCCCAGTTGTGGCAGTTTGCCTTCGGAGGGCAGGGCAAAACCAATCCTTGATGGGCGGGTTGCCATCACTTCATAGGCCAAGCCCTGTGTCCTCCAAGAAACGGTCCCTTTCGGATAGCCGTTTACACTAGACCTATTGGAACCATGGCCCTTTCCAAGGTGCTGCCCATTGGTCTCAAGTACTCGTACTGTGTACTCGTACTATATCTTTATTATTGGTTTGAATAGCTGATGGTTTTGGGTAGCCAATTCCCTGTTAACCTCAATGTTCCTTTTTGGCATCCATGTGTTCAGAGTTCGACGTCGAAATCAAAAAACGGCAAACGAAAGACTTGTAGGTATGATGTTCTAAGTCAGTGGGTCTATATTGTCAAGGTGTCCATAACGTTGAGCAGGAAACAATATAGCGTGGGAATTCAGCAGGGTCCAATAGGGGAATGTCTGTCTCAGCGCAAAATCTCCAAACCATCCCCCACCCGCCGCTTTCCGATTTCACACACGTCGAATCAAGGCCACTCAGCGCCTCACACGGGCCGCAGACACGCGGGCCATGCAGGAGGAAGCCAAAACTGAAGCACTGGTTAGGTACTGGTTGAAAAGAGGCCCCGCCTTGAGGGCTAAAGGGGTTCCAAGAGGTGAGTCGTGTGTCTTTTGTCCTATGGACAGAAACAAAGCATGGGTAATTGTCTTAACCTGCAACAGAAATTACACATCCAAGCATATTATGTGATTCTCTCGAATGGAAACCAAAGCAGAATTGGGGTTTATATCATTTTTCCGAACCCACGATTTAACACCTCGGCTTTGTTTGTTGGCCCTTGTGCGACTCCCCGTTAACAAGAAAGCCAATTCTTTTCGAGCAGCCCTCACTTCGCGCTGCAATGACCCGCAACATATTGACCTACTTCGAGGACTTGTTATTAGTTATCTCAAAGATGGGACATGTCAAATGAGGTCATGTTATACAGTTTTCGAGGTTCGCCAAGTATGGTCCAAAATTAAGAATGCTTCTTTTGCTGGGGCAAGAGATGTGGTAGAATGTGGTGGTTGATCTTTGCTTCCACCCTGGTCTTAGACGTTCTGAGACAGGGTTGTTTCCCCACTAAAATGTATAAAGATCAAGTTTGTGCAACAGGTCACCGAGCAACCCGACAAAGTTAGAACGCATTGATGTTTTTGTTCTGGTGACGGCAAAAAGCATACAACACAATAGAATGCATTTAAACTCAAAACAAATAATGCCTTATCCCAGCTGTTCAATGGATCCCGCCCTTAGGGCGGCTGGGTCTAAAGGCTTTCACGGTTAAATACAAATATTCTCAAGCCACCAGTGCGCAAGCATCATCAGTTGTTGTTTTCCTTTCCAGGAGATCCATGGAAAGAGTTTGTTGAGTCCAACCATGTTTCAACCAGAGTGGGTTGCCCCCTGTTTTTTTTGTGGGTGCCAATGCATTGAACAGAACAAGTGCTTGACATGGGCTTTTGTACCCAGCTGTTCGGTGGATCGCACCCTCTGAATCCCTGTTTGATTTGGTGGGTGTGGGGATTTGGGGGGTTGGAACCTGCTTAGATGAGTAGTGGTTCCTATTTATGCCCCCCCCAACAAAAAAGAACCCCTCAAAGTGTTCACTTTAAGGGACGCAGAAAAGCCCAACTCCCTCCCTCTGCACACTGAGATCGATTCAATTCTCAGGAGGCGGAGCGGGAGAGGCTGCTGCTGGTGTCCTTCCTTACCTGGCGGGAGGACAAGGCGCGAAAGCGAAGGCCAAATTGAGTACGGTTGCCGCCGCACGCCTGCCAAAATAGTATTTGACGCATAGCACGGCGTCAAATGGAGTAGGTGAGGCTTTTAGTAGGTGGGTCTACTGGTTTGATAGGAGTAGTAGCAGCAGCAGCAGCAGCAGTAGTAGTAGTAGTAGTAGTGACGGAAGTAGTAGTGGTAGTAGTAGTAGCAGCAGCAGCAGTAGCAGTAGGAGGAGGAGGAGAAGGCGTAGTAGGAGTAGGAGTGCTACGAATAATAGTGCTGGTGGTAGTAACAGTAGCATTAACAGGAGCAGTAACAGAAACAGTAACAGTAACAGTAGCAGTAGCAGTAGCAGTAACAGCAACAGCAACAGTAACAGTAACAGTAACAGTAACAGTAACAGTAACAGTAGTAGTAGTAGTAGTAGTAGTAGTAGTAGTAGTAGTAGTAGTAGTAGTAGTAGTAGTAGTAGTGTAGTAGTAGTAGTTGTTGTTGTTGTTGTAGTAGTTGTTGTAGTAGTAGTAATAGTAGTAATAGTCACAGTAATAGTAATAGAACTAGTAATGGTAATTACATAACCTTCACGACTACGTTGGCGAAACCAAAAGTTCTGGTCGCTGCTCAAGCCTGGACTCAGAACCTTACCAAATATGCCGCAGTGTGTCCAACCCATCGCAGGTCGCCAACGCTGCGACTTTGGCCGCCCAGCGCCATGGCAGGGAGATGGACCGCCTTAGGCCTGGCAGCTGGCAGCGGGTGGGCATGCTCCTGGAGTGGGGTGGGCCCATATTCCATCCTTCCCCAGTTTGCTTGGTGACACATCAACTCTAAAACGAAAAGTAATGCTGATATCATGGACATATGGGTGTGAATCTTAATAAGGGACCCTTTGGTGGCCATCATTTAGGTGGGGATTCATGTCCACCAATCACTTATGAGGTGGTTCCCTATTAAGATTCATGGCCATATATATATATATATATATATGTATACTCCCGCCGTGCACCAAGGTTTTACAGTTTTGGAGCAGACACTTCAGACAATTCGGGTGTCTCCAAATCTAAGTCCAATAGATCAAGCCAAAATCAGTCTTAGAAGAACTTTCTTCCTGCTCAAATCCAGAGAACAATTCAACAGCAATGAGTTCCTGTTGTAAATAAACAGCTCGAATGCCGCATTTGGTTGCGACACATGTAGTAATCGAAGGCAGCTCCACTTCAAGCAACGCAACGTTTATCAACTGTTCATTGCAAGAGTAGTACACAAAATACACTTTGGCAGCTCCAACGTATTTGCAACAGCTCTGTCATCCTGTTTGATCTCATTGTGCAGGAAAGCTCGGCAAACAATCAGTTTGAGGGCAAGAAAGTGATTCCCATCTGAAGCTGGAATCCAAATCACTTATAAAAGTTGTCCATGCCCTTACGCATTTCCATTTACATCATAATTGATGAAGTCTATCCATTTACGAATGGGTTCAATCAAAGAAACTCTCAATTTGACTCTCAGGTTTGAGGGTGAAAACGGAGCGAACATAGTGAGACACACTGTGTTTACAGTGTTTGCTGATCACACATAGGTTTCTGGGGATCCCCCATATACATGTACATATGTACATATATATATATATATATACACGACCAAACATACACATACGCTCAGGCTTCGGGCATTTCCTCGGAACCTTGAATCTTGAATCTTGAATCACAAATTGCTTATTGGTTCAAAGAGAAGCATGGGATTCAAGATACTGAAGTACCACAATCTTCAATATTGAATCCAATGATGCTTGGTTATGTGACTTGTTCGGAAAAGAACGGTTTCAAGATTCAAGATTCCCAGCTCGTTATGCGCAGGCCCTCTACTCGTAGCGACCAGCCCCGTGGGATTATTTACCCACCTGCTCTAAAAAGCCTCCGCAAAAAGATGTTTTTACATCCGCGAAGACCCTCACCTGTTCACCGCCTGCATAATTTCCTAATAATTACCTCTGCCTCATCTGCTCCTGAGTCCAACCGCGTCCGCGATTGTCATGCTGAAACTGGTTCCACCTTGAACTACAGCTTCATCTCCATGTCATTCCTGCCCGCACCACCTGACTTGGCCTGGTCTCTTCCGCGACCATCGACCTCCGAAATGGTCCTACCTTCCAACCACGTCGTGCTCGCTGTAGCCCGGCCAGATGTTGCATCAATTTCCTCGCTCCATGTCCACTTCTCCCCGGTGCGGAGTGCTGCTCGTTCTCCCCGGAGCTCTCGCAGTCCTCCTCCCATTCAATTGCATCTCCATCAACACCTCCATGCCCGGGTCGCCCTTCTTCACCTTCTGTTCTAGAAAGCGGATTTTTTCCCTGCTCAAGCCCCTCACACCTGGTCCACGCCCTTCCCCATTGGTCATAGACGATCTTGGCCTCCTTCTTCTGCACCTTGACCAACGGATTCTCTCCGGTCCGGTCTGCTGATGCAGCAACTCTCATCAGCCCTTTCACACACCCAACCGTCCCTTTGGCTGTCTCCTTCACGACGACCAGCGAGCACCATGAGAATCAGCCCCACCAAGAAGATGCCATCCTCAACCTTCATGACCCGGTCATCTATCACCTCCATTTCCGAATTGGTGCCATCAACTTCGGCCATCAAGCTGGCCCCCAATGCCACCATGGCTTTTGCCCTACCCAGCCCCAGAACACGAAGTGGTGATTCGAAACAGCTGCGTTTCCCGGGCCTTCACATGAAGGGGGGTTCCCAATCGGCGGTTCATCATCCCTGCCCAACTTTTGAATCTTTCTTGCCTTCTCGGCTCCTTCATCCGGCCCATCTACAGTCGCCGGTTCATTTTCCCTGGCAATCTTCTTTTCAGTCGTTTGCCGGCTTGGGAGCTGGCTTCACTGCCCCTTTCACCGGGCACTCACTTCTCCTGTGTCCTTTTCCGCCGCAGATCCAGCACCACTCCGCTTTGTCGACCGTTCTTTCCAGCCATTTTCCGACATGAAGAACCTGCAATTCTTCTGACTGCCCTCCTTCGTTGAGGCTGGTCCTTCATGTGCTCCTCCTGTGCCTGTCATGCCGCTGCCGCCGCTGCCACTCATTGCTTTCACTTTGGCTGTGGCTGACCCGCATCACCTCCCATTAGCTTTTGCGTGTCCAACTTGGCCAACAGCATTTCCGAATACTGCCAGATGGCCATCGTAGTTGGAGCCACATCCAGCCCGATCTTGCCCGTGCAACTCGAAACGCCTGTGCGCCTCCCTTGTTGATCAACTGCACCACCCTTTCCAGTGCTGCCAGCAACGTGGGGTCCGGCAATGATGCCCCAATCTCCTGCGCCCTCTGATAGTACCGCCGCCATTCCCGCAAGGCCGTGGCTGCTTCTGGCACTCCTCGCAACGGACCCAAATCCGTGAGCTTCTTGAGGATCAATGACGTAGAGAAGCCTGGAGCTGAGTTTCTACAAGAAGAACATGAGGGACTGCCAGATCTAAGAGGAGAAGGAGTGGTCGGGCATGTTTGAGGAAATGGGCAGCGAGATGAAGGCGGGAGCTCTGCGGGCTGATGGGGTTGATGCTCAGCAGCGGCAGCAACGTGAAGTGACAGAACAGAGAAGGAGGTTTTGGGCCTCGTGGTCGAGCCCTACGGGCTGGTGATGATGGTGCTCGAGGGCAAGGACGAGAAGGTCTGGTCGTGGGAAGAAGCGTGCCGAAGGACGGGAAGAGCGATTCCGGGAGAACCCTCACAAGGACCAGAGGTGCGAGGAGCGGGAGGTGGGAGAAGCAGCAGAGTTGTTTTGCACTGAACCGTAAGGTTTGGCTTCCAGAGCGACCCAGGCAACGTTCTGATGAGGAGTTGATTGGAGAGATGGGTCTTGCGGAAGAAATGGAGAAGAACTTCATGAAGGCATGCAGAAATATCCGAGGATTGGAGAAGCAGAGGGAGTATCTGTTCGGCACCATCAAGGAACTGCGACGTGAAGTGAGGAGGTGGCATTAGAGGTGAACGGGTGGCGACAGAGGAACCGGGAACAAGAGGAGCAGAGGTTTCAAACACCAATAGATGAGACCTTTGCAACGCCGATGGCCTCGGTACCACCACCACCTCCATCGCCACCACCAAGGTGGGAAGAATCACAGGAGAGAGAACCTTCGCTGGAGGTGGAGGTGGTGGAAAAGGAAGAACAAAGTTGGGATCCTCGCTGGAAAGACGAGGACTACCACCATTGGGGATACGGGAAATGGAGTTCCAACGCGGAATGGGGCCAATGGGATGATTGGAAGCCGTGGGATAAGGGCGATGGAAAGTGGTCGGAGCAGGTTGAATCTCTCCGTTGACGCTGGGGTCTGGTGGGCCCGCAGATGAGCGATCTCTCGCAAGGTGCATCGGAGTGGTGGGCTGGAACCATGGAGCAAGCAAAGAGCTATACGAGATGTGGCTGAGGTCGACCGCGTTTGAGAGGCTGAAAATCACCTGAAGACGGAACAGAGAGGACTGACGTTACTCTTGAGGGGGATACTCGAGGAGATCAGAAGAGAACTGGTAGAATCCAGGGATCTGACCTCCACAGGAGTACTCTCTAGGCTGTTAGTAATGTTTCAGCCAGGAGGCCCGGGAAAGAGCTTGCGCCTTCCAGGTCCGCCATGAGATCTGTCTTGACCTCAGTCCAGAGCTCACTTCGCTGGCTGGGTCTTGGCCCTCTTCGACTTCTCGATCCAGGGAACTTGGGCAAGTCCTCCGGCCTTCTGGCCTGTAGATGTGCTTCGTCTACAGCTCGTTGGCTCCAGAAAGGATTTACATCCAGTCGTGGTTCCCCGACCCTGTGCTCGCCGGCTTCACCCGGCCTTCCTCCGGCATCTCGCCTTTTCACGAATTCCCCGGCTCTCGGATTCTCCTCCTCCACGATTCCTTCGATCTCGCCCTCCAGCTCCGCGACCATGATGCCCTCTACACTTTGTGACCTCCGCCTCCTCATGAGTGCTGCCATGGCATGGCACTCAGGCAAAGGCCGGACCGCTTGGGCTCATAACCCTCGTTACGCGCAGGCGCGCTTTTCACTCCTGTCCTTGCTCAAAAGGGCCTCCGGTCACCCCATGTTCACTACCTCAACGGGCCCAGAAAGCATTCTCTCCAAGTCTTGAATCTTGACTCCCATTTAGCAAAAACAACTTCTAACACCTGGAAAACGGCAAATGGTGGCATCATTCCTGGCAATATATATATATATATACACACATGCCATTATTCGCATTTGGCACTCCCGAAGTCTTCCACAAACTCCATAACGTCGAAGAATCGGAAAACCTTGGTCCATCGAGGGGCTCCACGTGCACGTATGTCCATATATATATATATATACATAGCCTGTACGCAGGCACGTGTATGGAGAATACGCATATGTTTGCGCGTACGCCGTACGTACGTACATTTACACATACTTGCATACACCTACTACCTACCCACCTACCTACCTCCCGCCCGCCTACCTACATACCGTCCTGCCGCCATCCTACATACCTACCTACTTACCTAAATATTGACGCACACACACACGTGCACGTGTAGACACCTTATCTTTCTACAAATGTATTTACACTAACAAAATGCAAACATTTATGCATGAATGCATTCACACACACACATGTGTGCATTTGAATACTGAGTTGTAGTCCCCAATACACGGGCCATGTCGAAGTTGATTTCCAGTAAGAAAGCTGCTGTTTGCCGTAAGTCTCCTTTCTCCCTATTTCTTTGAAAGACACAATTGAACTAGCAGACAGGGACCAAACCAAAGTTTAGAGTGACAAGAGGGGCCTCTTGCAAGGGCCTCTGGCAATTTGCCCTTCCAACAATTTCATCAACGGAAACCCACAACCTAGCCAATAAAAGGGCGCCCCTGCGAGCAGCCAAGTTCAAACCCTAGTTGCTGAACCTCGGCTTTTGGTCCGCCAACGAGCAAAAGGCCATTCACCTAGTAGCCACTGCACCAGCGGACATGTTTGCCACTAGTCCCTGTTTCCTTCCAAATCCAAAAGGGAAACCCATGTCTCCCTTCATAACGAACTAGAATGTTGGGACTCAAGAAGGTTGGCCACCTCAAGAATTGGAAGGTCAAAGGCATCAAACCGTGGGGGCCTTGTTAAGTTTCTGCACAGGACGCAGCTGCAGTCACAAACCGCAGGGCTCTCGGATTGTACGCCGGCCGGGCTCCCCAGGTCTAATGTTGAGACAATGCAAGGCCAACATTCGCCATCATCATCTCTGCACTGATGACAGCGAACGACTCCGCCGCGCCGGGTAAAACAACCAATTCTACCCTAGCAACTTGCGCAGGGCAACTCTTGCACAGAGCAACTTGCTCTCCATCTTTTCAAGCTCAAGGAGCCTCAGAGCGGACAAAGCTTACATTCCACGTCTTGAAGATGTGTAGCCATTTGCCAGACACGCTCCCCAGTATTCGCCCTGCGGCACAAGCATGCAGTTTTCAGGCCAATTTGAACACTTGGCTTCAAAACTGGACCCCCATCCAAAGCCCCAAGCTTGCTTCTCTTCAAGGGCATGCGAGCATGACAGCCCCGTGTGAGAAATGGCCTCCGTCGCCCGGTTTGGGGGCCAATTTGCACCAGTTGTTGGCCTGAAAGAAATTGACCACATCCAAGACACGAGTATATGTTTTGGTTTTTGGAGGCCAAGCACGAGCAACTGCCTGCAAAAAGTGGGGCCCCGCAAAAGCGGGCCCCCGCTGTTTGTAGCGAGGTTCGAATTGTAGCAAAGATGCCCTTAGCTTTCAGGCCATTTTGCAAACAAGTGTTTGGCCTGAAAAATAAACCCTGCTGAGCAGGGCCGTGTGCGGACGGATTGCCCCAAAGCATTTCGAAACCATGCTTTCGGGCCACTGTTTATTGCACAAGGGAAGAAACCGATGGCTCCAACAAAGGTCACTTTGCATCAGGGCCCAGGACACAAAGTCAACCCGGGCGGGCGCAGAGTTGAGCCAGAGCTCCGCCGCAATGGGCGATGTTGACGGATGTCAACACTGCGGCTCATCTTCTGCCACGCCCAGGAGCAATGCAAGAGACAAGCCTCACACCACAGGCGCCACGAAAGCAGAGAAGACCGAGAGGTCGCGCGCAGCGGCCCTGCGTTCGCATTCTGGGGCGTGCGAATGGCGAATCGCCTGAGAATTGTCTGCATTACGCAGCGAGGCTGTGCCGTGGCGCCATCAATTGCAGCGCAATGGCGTGGGGCCCGTCCCTGGAGCAGAACCTCTAGCGAAGCTTTTCAAGGTTGCTTCAGGTCCGCTGACTCCTAACCTGTCAGCTGAATTCGACAGACACTACAAGCGGATAGCGCGAAGGCTCAGAGAAAGGATGCGTTTGCACCCACGTAGCTTGGGCACGTAACTGGGTAGGCTCCTGTTTGTCGAGATACTGGCTAGCATCACTATATCGTTCCAATGAAAATACTTTGTCCCAGATGAATGGCTCCTGGCTCGTGTCGCGGGGCTCAGATCGAATGAGTTCTCTCAGGAGAGCCGTGAGGAGAAGCGACTCAGGCGATCCGGGGTCGGCGTTGCTGATTGGCCTCACCTTGGGTTTGTTGAGGTACCCTTTGCGGTTGGAAAAAGGGAAACCAACAAGGAACCGCACCTTTTTGGGGGTGCTCGTATTTTGACACATGCCCATGTGCGGGGAGAAGCTGGACACGGGGTCATGCATCCTTTGGAGGGGTTTCAGGGCGGTGGATCGTCTCAAGAGAAGTTCCTTAGTTTGAACAAGGGGAAAAACACTTCCCACCTTTAGTCACACGGGACTCCGGTTTGTTCCCTTTGGCTGGCTAACGTGATGTGTAGGAGCACAGCCCGGAATATCCAGTGCAGTCTGCGGGAAGACCGGCATCTCATGTTTTGTGAAGGGAAGGATAAGGAACGCTTTTGCAGCTCGTGTTTAGAAGTGACAAGCTGTTTTCCGTATGGAATGAGGCCCCCAATCAACCATTCCCCTCAATATAAAGAAGTACTCGCGTGCCCGTTGGGAAACACACTCACATTTTATCAATTGGTGCTCGTAAAAAGGAAGTATGTGTGCACGTTTAGGTACATAGACACACACACACACACACATTCGTGATTGAGAATGCATATTGAAAACCCGGTTTTGAGAAGCACGGGGGTACCCCTTTTGAGGACGAAAAGGCCAGGCATCAGTGGCACGGGTGTTGTTCATCCCGAAGACTCCCCCTACTGGCTAAGGGTTTGCAAGGAAAGTGGTAGAAACAAAGGGCCCTTTTTGTCATCCCATTGAAATTCGGCACTGGGTCCCACCTGGGTTCAAGGTGGGGCCATATATATGCTTGACAACCCCCCAAAAGGCTTGATTGTTGTTTCCCTTAACTCCGCAGAGCTGAGCTCGGCAAGGGGCAGAACACAGAAAGTAGGCCGATCGTTTCCAAAAGGATCGACAATCCAAACCTGGAGCTAAAATGTTGTGGTCAAACTCGTCTAGCTCACCGGTTTGAACCTTTCTCAGGGCTCAAGACTTGGCATTACAAGAACCCAATTCGGAGGGAAAACTGCTGAGCAGAATGTAGTCAAACGTTGGTCGGTGTTCCTGCATTCGGAGCACCACTGATGATTGCCTTTGCGATGCATCCTGTGACACCATTGGCATCTCGTGCACAGGTTGTTCTTCGGCTGAGAAGAGATGCATCCCTCAAGCCTGTCAGAGAGGATACCCCGAGAATCAGTCCAACCACCTTTGGTTTAAGTCCATTTGCAGGAAGATGATTTTTACATTCATGACCAGATATTCCAAAACTGGGCGCAGTGGTTTGGGGCATAGACCATCTTATCAGCAGAGATCTCCCATGTACCTTACTTATCTTGCGCCTGAGGGAACCTGCATCCCAATCTTCAACCCCGAGCTCCCCGACCAACCCCCAACCATGCCTCTTTATGCTGCGAGTTGGAAATAGAGGAGGCCCTGTCCCCACATAGTCAATGTTCAAAAGAGCATCGTCAAAAGAGCCTGAGTTTCCTTGATAGACTCAAAGGGTTCATTCCACGCCCCACCAAGCACTGAACCATAAGCAGGCTGGCTTTGTTCAACTACCTGTTCAAGCATGGCTCAAGCAGGCATGTTTGTTGCAGCCACCTTTTGGTTACATCCTGAAACGGGGCAGACATATGGCCCCATTGCGATGTTCGCAGGGCTGAGCTCGCGGAGCTCAAGAGCAGGGAGGAAGCTGGGAGCCCAAGGCTCTCACCGATCCCAGGAAAGCGACCCGTCGAGAATCTCAGCCAAGAACCATCTCAAAATGATCTGGGGCATTCCCTAAATAGTGCAAGTGAACTACCGCCCGACCACAAAACCACAAGGCTTCCCTGGTGTCCCTTGCAATATTTGGGAACTCCACAGTAGGAACCAGCCCTTCGACAGGGGCACCCAAGAACTACATGTTCAAGGCTTGCTTCCTTGACCCGCGATGAGAGATGCGTAGCTGAAAGGGTTGGCCAAGTGTCAACCGATCTCTTGTGGGCAAATCATAGCAACAGTGGGGCGGTTGCGACTGCAACTAGAATGATGATTTCTGGCCCAGGATACTCCAGGCAATTTCATTCCAGCAGTAGGACAAGTCTCGCCGAGGCCTTCATCCTGCAGACTCAAAGGGACAAGGACCGAGAGGGTTTCGCTCTCATGGGCAGCTCCCAGAATAGCAATCGCCTATTTGGCACTTTGATTTCTTTGGGAACTAAAGACGCAATCGGGGTTTCTAAGCACACGACAGCGGGATGAGTATCCGAATCTTGGAGCAAGGCTCTGGACTCCGCCGTGCAGTGGCACAGCGACGTCTGCCTGCCCAATGGCCCAAGGCACTGTTCCTCGCCAAATCGTTTCCAAGCCTTCGGCAGCGTCGAAGGGATGGACCTTGCCCAGAGATGTGATGTTGTTCTGGAGTGCAAGCATGGAAAAGGAATGGCAGATGTCTGAGCCTGAAAATGCAAAACGATATTTCGATGAAAAAATGATAAGCCAACAAAGGCTTGGGATCGCCATGAAAGAAACCGTCCTTTTTTTCCGCCAAAACGTTTGTGAAGTCGCTATGATTTGCCCAGATCATTGAACCTGCCCTGCATGATTGAAAATTAGACCCCCTCAGCATTTGCTCGCCCAACAATCAAATGTACAGTGGCCTACAGTAAGACCCGAAACACAGTAGAATGGCTGGTTCCTTGGGTGCCCATTTGCAAAACCATCCCAAGGGCTTCCCAATTTGGGCAGCTTGAAGAACAAATCCAGGTCGAACTTGTTTCACCACACGGAAACCCCTAAAATGGATGTGTGCTTGACTTTGGAACGAATGTAGATGTGTGTTTCATATGTCTGATTGGTTAATGTATTGACTTTTGCCCGCGAGATGTCGCAGGAAGCCGAGAAGGCGGCGCTTTGCGACCGCGCCGCGGAGCTGGCCATGGCGCGGCGTGAGGAGGCGAGGAAACGTGGCGTTTCATGGTAAACCTGTTCTCTCTTTTGGTAAAGAGAAACTGAAAGGCAAACCGGTCCATTTGTTGGGTCCATATGCCTATTTTGACACATCCCTAATTTGTCTCATGGAAGCTACACATGATAATTTCGGGCCGGTTCAAGGCCCGTGGCGATCTGGAGCTGTCCGAATAGGTCACAATGTTTGGTGTCCCCTTGAAAAAGCCGGCTGGCGGCACCAGGTGTACCAATGTCATACCTTTTACAAGGTCACAAAGGGCACCTTTGCGATGCTTACAAGGACACCTAGAGGCAACCAGCCGCTTGGCAATCCAAGGGCCAGAGTTGATCAAGCAACATGTCAAGTTCCGAGAGGCTTCATGAAACCCAGACGCAACCCCAGACCTCGAGTGGCGCTCCTTTTCTTTTTCATCTACCAAAAAGGGGTGTCCCTGCAAACCATCTACCAAAAAAGGTGACGGATGTCCTTTCTGGAAATCCACTGGGTTCCTTTTGTTCCCTTAAGATCCCCACAAAAGGGTCACGCAGGCTGCCCGGGGTTTGCTGAGCAGCCTGCTGGCTTGGCGCCTGGAGAGCCTCTTGTCCGACGCCTTCGGGGCATGGCAAAGCCTCCAGGCAAATCTGGGCTGACGAGGGGGTGGTGGTGCCCTTTTCGAGTAGTTTTAACCAAGGAAAGCTCCGAAACAAAATGAACGGAACCGACGAAGTCGTATCAAACCGCCGTGTGAAAGTGTTCCAAATGCCCTTTGAAATTGGTTTCAACCCGTATGAATCCGCCAGGGGTTCTTCTTCGATTGAGGGTAGCCTTCTTGTCACCTCGGAGCCGTTTTTGGCCTTGCCTTGTTTGTTGTTGGGGGGGGGGAAGCCTTGGCTCATTTGCAGGTTTGTCATACAACCATAGAACCCGGGTTGACATGTTCTATGCGGTTGCCCTTAGGCTAGCAAAAAGTTATTCTGGCAGAGTGTCAGAGATTAAAGATAGTTGTTCTAGAAGACCACTTCTATATCCATGCGTTTAAACCTGTGAAAGCATGTGCTTTGCAGACAACTTGTTTTGGAGAATTGTATGCCCCAAGCTCGCGGTGTTTTGGGGCAATTCGGTTTCAGGTTTGCAGCCTGTGAATCATAGTACTTGCCCAGATGCTATGGAGGTGCACCATTGGGATGTGCCCCACCTCACTCTTCACAAGCCTCCTTTTTGCACTCTATTCCTAGGTTGGGAACCAGGTCTGGGAATGCACCTTGCTCTCCATTTGAAGAGGGTGTCACCTGTGCGCTTCCATGTTACAAAGTGAAAAGGAAATTATGTGTCCTCTCCTTTGGGTGATGTGTGAAGGGAAGTATCAGGCAAGACCCAGGATTATTCTGGATTCATACACCCCTCGTTGTTTCTGGTGTACAATTGCATGTCCCACGAAGATGACCATGCTGTAATTGGCTCGACGGCAAGCAATCTAGTCTAATCTAGTTGTCAAGGCGAGATGATGTGACTTCAGCCATTGACACTCACCCTCGATCAGCCTCTGGGTGCCGCCGAATTCGTTAATTCTTCAATGTCTCCCGGAAGAAGCCGCTAGAAAATAAACATATTCCTATACACCCTGCTTCTTTTTGCAAACCCAAGGGAAACTGTGACAAGAACCCCCTGCCGAAGTTAAGACCTCTTGGATGACACGAAGAGGAAGAAGCAACCCTTAGGACGTGCGTTGTTTTTCAGTTACCCTATTTTGCACCCAGGTCCCTCACCTCAAGTTGTTGGAGAGTGACGCTTTGACGCATGATGTCATGTCCTGAAAGCAGGTGTCGGCGTGCTTTTGATTGAGTTCATGGACCTTAGGCAATCTGATTGGCTTGGGTAAAGGCCCCCCTTTGCACAGGCCTCCTTTGTCACTGGCTGAAGATTGATGGCCCCTGTGCCATGGACACTTAGAGTTCATTTTGCAGACTCCAACCCCAAAAACAGCACCCTGCTGAATTGTCAAAATCAAACCCAAGGACAAGGCGTTCATCGCAGGGCTCCCGTCCAAGCAACGCCTTAGGTCGGTCCGCCAACCGCTCTTTTGGAAGACCAGCGTGATTGACCTCTTTTCCACGAGTTTTCCTCTGGCTTCTTTTTATTCCCTTTTTGGTTTCCTTCAAACACCCAAACAGTGAATTCTGCTCAACCAGCCAGCCACGCGAAACTTCCCCGCCTTGACAGCGCGTTGCCAGGGCGCGCGAAAGCGTGAGGAGCAGTCCAGAGAGGTGGCGGAGCTCAGGCTCGACTCGTGCTCTCGAGCTCCAGGTTTTGTGTTGCAATGGTAACTTGCGGCATGGGTGTCATGGGTGTATTGGTAACTTGTGTTTTGAGGGTACCCTTTCCAGCTGGCTCAATGGGAATTCCAAACGAAAAAGCGCCATTTTGGGTCCCATGTTGGCACACACACACACACCCTAGTCGGTCGACTTTGAAACCTTGATTTGTATAGGATATCTAGCAGGATTAGCAAACCCCTGCTTGAGTGGGGGGTGGGTGCCGTTTTAGAAGTTACGGTGTAACCATGCTCGAATGCCCCTGTTTAAACTCAGCTACACCGGCCAGCCAAAGCGTACATGGTGAATGGATTTGAATCAGCAGGCAAAAACAAAGTCCCCCCTTCCCCCCGCGCAGCTTCCGGGTGGGGCCGACCGCGAGCTTATCTGGTCTAACCCATTGTTCGCTCGCTGGTATTCCGCACGAGAAGCAAACATGTGTCCAACAGGTTCAACACTGAAAACAAATCAGACTATAGCATACGACAAACGTCTCTTTGGGTCACAGGACGTCTGACGAAGTTGTAGTCAAATCGGTTGCCGACAGCCTGCAGACTAGTGATTTCCTTTCAGGCAGAAGGATGCAATTGAGCAGGCCCGGTTCTAGGAGGGGTCATAGTAGACTAGGGCTACATTGACCTTTTGAATCCATGTTGGATTGCAACCAAGATTCCCTCGCCCCCCGCGCCCCTGCCACCCCACCCCGACCCTCGAGACTTTTGGGAAGCTACACAAAGGAATGGCCAATTTCTCCAGGTTCTGGTGGGGTTCAAACACGCACCTCCTTTTGGGAGCAACCCAAAACCCATGTTTGTGGGTGTGCTGCTTGAAGGTGTTTGTTCGGGGAGGTCCTCTGATCCCTTCCCCAAGCGCACAAGGAATCCCGGGAACCCGATTGAATCCCCCCTTTCAGAGAGCTTCTTACATCGCTTATCAAGGTTATCAATTATTGATAATTGTGTATTTAAAATCTTGTTTTGAAGTCTATTTACTATGGACCCCTTTTCCAGTCGTTCGTTTGAACAAGCACGTTCGGCCGCTTTGCTGAAGACAAGGATCCTTGAAATGATTGGGGGAACTACAGCTGTTGCAACAGCTGGATGAAACTTTCACCGTCCGCTGTACTTACAACGGAAAGGACATTGTGTCGTCTACTTTCACCCTGGTGTACTAGAGACTGGTTGTGACTCACGCGCTGTTTGCCCTGTCGTCTCCTCAGACGAGCGCATCTTAACTTCCAAATGGTTGGTGGTTTGTTGTTAGTTTATTCAAAACCGCTCCAATAATTGCAACCACCCGAGAGCCCCAAACCGAGGAGTGGCTTAGACCCCATCTTAGTCACCATTGCCAAACACTTCGCATTACGGCATGAAGCAGGGGGGTTCTCAAACACATATGTCATGTTCGCTAAGGTCCAGATAGATAGGGTGGATCAACCCCAAAAGGGTGCTCTCAGCAGAATACAGACCCTAATACCCATCCCAAGTGGCCATGCCCCCAACGGCAGGTCAGCGCTGCAAGCTGCGCAGACGTCGAACCTTCGCCGCGAGGAGGCCCCATGCCGTGCTGGAGATGAGGTTCGATCCAGGTGTATCTCTAAATGGGTGTAGGTAATGCAAATGTTATGTTGCGTACGTTATGTAATGTACCTCTGCACATGTGTTTGTGTGTGTGTGAGTCTGTGCTTGTTTGCTTGTTTGTTTTGTTTTGTTTGTTTGTTTGTGTCAAAACGCAAGCAGCAGCGGAATGGATGGTCTCCAGGGGTGTGCCCATGGAAGTGCGCAGACCCTTTGGCCGGCAAATACTGTCAAAAAGGGGGCCTGTACGCTCGCTCCCATAATTGATGGAATCTCGAAACAAGAGGAACCCATATGATTGGTAAACCCAGCCCGTTTCAGAGGGGATCTGGAACACATTTTGGGAACTGAACTGCTCCCCAGCTGCATCTGCCACGTGTACCAATAGATCGACACTAGGGGACCCTACAAATCATTGGTTTCCTTTCAGAGTCCATGGTCGATACCACGGTCCCAACATGCCACAACCAGGCCACTCACTGCTCTTCCACATTAGTCAAACAGGACCCGAGAATCACAATCCGAAAACCATAGAAGACCGAGAAGGTACAACAGGAAGCCACAAAGCAGAAAGGGCGTCTGGGATCAGACGCATCCAGGTTCTTGTGCGCCAGCTTCGCTTGCGTTAGGCGCGGCTGCGGGAGGAGCAGTCCAAAGAAGTCGCAGAGCTGAGGCCAAAGCGGCTGCCTCGAAGCCGCCAGATGGGACTTCAACGGTATGTGTCCGAAATCGGGATGTGGATGAAGATGGGTAACCTGAAAGGGGCACCCTCAAAAGAACACACGCCCGCCTGGATCGACAGTTGCGATTGATCCCCCCGCCCAGCAACTGCGACTGTCTTTGCTTCTCTCAGAAAGTGTCCGGAGAACAGGAGCAACTTGGGTGCCTTGGGAGCAGTTGTTTGAGTCGCAATTAAAAGCCGGGTAATTGAGGCTGGTAAGGGACAATCCAAGCCATAAATGAATGGGTCGGCCTCGTTTTCAATTCTTTACATGGCTCGTGGTAGACCATTTTAGTACCTTGTTTCGATTCTGACTCTGTTGGCAGATGGATTCCTAATCTTGGCAAATCACTAAATTCGTGTTTCTCAAATTCGGTGGTTACTTCCCGTTCCCTTTGATCATGCAAAGAGGGGCGCTCAATTTGCGGACATGGCCATCTCTTTCTGCCAGGTCAAAGCTATCGGCAACGACACCCGCTGGCGACGAGGCGCTGGGAAGGAGCGTGGCGAAGATCGTTGACCAAAAAACTGGACACTGTTTGGGACATGACCATTTCCTCCTACACGTTCTGCTAGGAGGTCATGACCAGTAGATATATTTCAGCGGCACCAAAAGCACACATGGAAGAAATATCGGTTAGCTTGAGGAATCTTTTCTTGGAGGTGGCAAAACGCCAGCAGGGTTCTGAGCTGAAGGAGTTTTGGCGCTGACACATGACTCGGCAGGAGGGTTGCGTAGAATGTGTTCAACAAACCAGCCCTGGTCGTCTTAAAACGGAAACCAAAGGAAGGTGATTTACACAAAGGGTTTGAACATGTTCACGCAAGGGGTTGGCCCTGCCCTGACTGATTTTTTCAAACGCAACTCACTCCGGTTTTTCCCATTTGCCCATGGAACCCCAGAGCAATGTTTCTTTGGTAGCAAGGCACCCATGACACCCATGATGTTTTGGGCTCCGACTCCCAATTCTTATGCGCCAGGCTACCCATTGCAAGCCAGATGGTTTAGGCCATGAGTGCGAAAAATCAAGCTGACTGCTGGTTGGTTGTTTTACTCTGGGAACCTCGGATTTTGGGCGCTGCTCAGTTTTGCTTTCTGTCGACTCTCACTCACTTGCCCAAGGGATCTGGTTTGATACCACGTTAAACAGTCGAAAGGTCGGGTTCAGGAGTAGGAAACACACACCCGGAACGTTGTCTTGTCGTCGCTGTCGTTCGAGAAGACTTTTTGCTGCAAGGAAACCCTCCAGTCAGTTTGGGAAAGTCACCGGGGGTGGGGATCCTATGAAGTCATCTAGCCCTCAGCCTGGGAATTCAAGCAACATGGGCCCTTTCGTCTGATTTCTGATGGGGCCAGGATTCAGCACTCCCCCTTGATTGACTAACGAAGAGGGAATGCGGATCACGATGCTGACGCAGCAGGGGCCGGGAATGTATGTTTGGTGGCTGAACCACTTCAGCGCCACTCCAAGAGAGCCGTTCTTTGCTTGTGAATTTCGTTGGACCACTTTTGAGGGTGCCCGTTTGGGGCGGGGCCGTCCTTTTACGACTGCCCTAGTGGAAGAGTGCCTGGAAAGGCCAGCCTCTTGGGACACCAATCTGTTCTGCAAAAAAGGGCTTGTTTCCAAATCAGGGTTAGTCAGTAGCCTTGCGCAATTGGAAGGGTATAGCTTTTTTTCGAGGTCGCAAGGCGAGAGTTTTAAGATAGAAACGGAGGCGTTGGCCAAAGCTTCCACTAAAGTTGAAGCGCATCCCTCCTCTCACTCCCTACACAACGGCCCTCCCCAGCAGCTGGAGCTGAAAGAAGCCTTACTTAGGACACAGGCCAAATCAGCCCTTAACAGTTGGGTGGATCTTTGGGAGAGACACGGCTGGAGTGCCCTTGCTTGGGTGGGCTGAAAGGGATTTTAGTTCAGCCAGCCATTTTGAGTTCTCTCATTTTAAGACATGCCTCCATTGGTGAATGACTGGTTGAAGAACCCAATGATGAGTGACTCGCCATGCCGGGCTTTATCAAATTTATGGGTACGACTCTGCATCCCATGGTCAAGTTCCCAGACTCGCATCTTTCCACTGCATCTCATCCTACTTTCAAGCGCATAACCCCCGGCAAACACACCTCTCGTCGATCGTGGGGCAAATTTGTGAGTGGTGTCCCTGGTGGGGATAGCTTGAAATGCATATCAGCTCCGATTGCAATCTGCTTCCTATGAAAATGATCTCTGTGCGTGATCACTGTGGGGGTGGACTAGAGCTCCCGAGTTTTATGTTCCGCAAGCAGCAGTGAAAAATTGTGAGGAGGGGATCCCCTCGCATGTTTCGTGTTCAGCTTGCAAACCGTTGTTGAGGCACACAAGTTGGAAAAGAGCTGTCATTTGAATTTGTGAAGTTGTTTTCCTGGATGCAAAACGTGGCCCTAAAGGTACCGCTGAGACTTCTTGAAGGTGCTCTCATGCAGATCAAAAGGAACCCAAAGAGCCCATTCAGTATGAGGATCAGACTCTCGCATGGGGATTGCCCCCTCTTTTGGGTTTCCTTCTGTTAATTTGCAGAAGTAGGAACCTTGGCGTTGCACGAGGACTATCTTAAAGATCATGGGACTCGTTCAGGACTTGTCATCTGAGGGGGCTCCTTTGTTCCATATTATCATTGTCCAGCTTTCTCAGACCCTTTGGCTGTATATCCGTTGCGTTAGGCTGCCCGAGAAGCTGCGGAATCCAGCCGTGCCTTGGCTCAACCGAGGCTCAACAGCAGTTGATTGGCTCTTTCGCTTCGCCGTTCTGCTGGTTGGGTTTGAAAAGCGTTTAGATGGTTACAGAACGTTGGATTAAAATGTCGCGAATGCACCATGCAGCAGCACCCTGCAACAGCAGCTTGGATCATTCGTTCATCCGATGACTCAAGGCTTCGCGCTGGAGGAAATGGCGGTGGCCCTGTTCTACCAGCAGCGCGCTGGGGCCATGTCCAAGGCCAGAAGGAAATGTGGGCGGAGGGAGGGTGGGGGTTGTGTTGCCTTCCAAAAATGTCACACGCAAACCAATCGATGATAGCATAGCCCTTTGAATTGTTCTTAGCCTTTAAAGGGAACCTACTAAAGCTTCCTAAGCACGTCTGTTTTGAAGGGAATTGGATGTGAACTCATTGGAAATGGGCCTCCTCGCTGGATTGTTTGAAACTCTCGCATACTGCTAAAACGCTAAGAGGGAAGTACCGTCGTCAAAGATACACGCCCGAACTTGGCTTAGACCACCAGAGCAAGGCCCTTTTGAAAGGTCGACCTGAAGTTGCTCAAGCAAAAGCTTCTGTTGCGCTGGCGCTGACCGAAGTTATTCTTGGGAACGGTACAAAAAGACAGAATCCTGGGCTTGCGGTTTAACATTCACCTTGTGTTGCTGGCAGGTGTCATCATCGTTTTAGCAAAAGCGCACAACATGAACGTGTTTTGACCAATCAATTTAGTAGGTTGGCACTTCATTGCTATGTGCTTGCGTGTTGTGGCGGTTCTGCTGGGCTGTTTGTGTGTGTGTGTGTTGTTGCTGTTGCTGCGGATTCGGCTACGGCGACTGCTGCTGCTGGGTGCTTTTTGGGTTTTGTGCCTGTGACAGCACGCAAACCTCCAGCTGCATTTAGGCCATGGCTTGCAAAACCCTTACAGGCTCTGCATTTTGAACTGCTTCAAAACTTGCCAACAACGGCTTGAACCATACATAAACCACCACAGCAGAAGCAGCCGCAGCCGCCTCCAGGTGTGTAGCAGTTCTAGTTCAGCATTTATGGGGTTGCTGGCGTGCAGCTGTTTCCGCACCCCACCGTCCGTGCCCCCTTCTGCGTGGTGACTAGGGTCGACCATATCCCAAAGTAAGGATTTTTAGGGGCCGTGAATTTGACTTGCAAACGGAGTTTGACCGTGGCACGCAGTTTTCTCCGGAAGTGCTTACTGAATCAAAACAGGATTTGACACGTAGGTCTGGGTGTCTGTTTCGGGGCTCGGCTTTAAACGAACCATTCGCCGGGCCCCCCGTGTTGGCGGTCCATTTGTCCACGCATCCCAAGACCGCTGTACCCCTGTCGTCTCCAAGTCCTTCTCCTGCCTGGGCATTAATTAATCTTTGGGTCCATTAAGAATGAGATTCCTCGTTTTGAGACTGAAAAATCGGAACACCCTAAGTAGTTTCCTCAGGGTTCCCACGAAATATAAGACGCAAAGCAACGCAAGCCAAAACAAAATCAAGCAAAACAACACACACACACACACACACACACACACACACACACACACACACACACACACACACACACACACACACACACACACACACACACACACGCACACGCCCACGCCCACGCCCACGCCCACGCCCACGCCCACGCCCACGCCCACGCCCACGCCCACGCCCACGCCCGCCCGCCCGCACGCACGCACGCACGCACGCAAAGGATCATAAGGGGCGCGAAGTGTCCGTCAGGCTCTGAGCTTCGCGCTATGCGGTCAGCTGGAGCTGTTCCTCGCTGGGGCGTTCTTGGAGTGGCGCTGGGCGCCCGAATCGAAGGGCGGCCTTGGAAAACAGCCCATGGAAAAGCCACCCGTTCGTCGGTTGACCTTCTCAACATTTTGGGGGCTTGTTTGAACAAAGGCGTGTGAGCTACAGTTGAGGTGTGCGTGTGCAGCTCCCTGGGGAGTGAATGATTCATGGTGCCTAACATTGATTCAAGGTCATTTACTACGATCATGTCGACCCCAGAGTAGAGGCCTTGAGGATAAATAGAGGGGTGACTGGGCATTTGCCAGGGTTTGCCTGAAGTGACCGGAGTGGCTTTGGGCTGTGTAGATTTGGCCCGCAGATTTTGCGGTGAAAACGGGCCAGCCTTTCTTCTGTCGTCCTGGACGAATAACCTTGTCGTTTTTTAGCCGGTGCAATACCTGATTGTGATCGCCACCCCAGATTCGTAGATCCTGGGTTTCCTTTGCTGCCCTTTGAATCCCATCCAGTTCAGCATACCCCCACATGTCTTACCCACAAAACACAAACAGGAACGGAGCTCAGGAGGCCTCTGCCACTTGAACAAAATCCTTCATTTAGTCTCATTTTGGCTGTGCTTGGTTTGAAGAAAGCTTGCTGCGTGGGTGTGTCTCAGAATGGATACCCCTCCCGAACGGGCGGTGCCCAATTGTGTTTACGTCAAACAACCCAAAGGGATGCAGACATGAATGATGCGCCCATGCAGGAGTTCTACCACTGACCAGCGAAAGTGCTTCACGTGTGTACAAAAGGAGGCCCTGCAAGTGTTCGGTCTCCTTGGGCTCTCCCTGGTAAAACTGGGTCAAACTGTGTGGGAAGCACAAAAAGGTTTCAAAGGTGGTCCAGCCAAATTGGCAATTGTTCCCTTAAAGCTGTTATCCCCTACCGCTCAAGGCTTTTATTACACTATGGGCTTCGCCATTCCTTGACCTCCTATTCAACCCCAAAACTGGTGGGCCTTCAGCACGCATCTCGAGGCCGCGCAGTGCTGGACGAGCGCAAGGGCCGTCAGCGAGCAGGCGCTGGTGCAAGGGACTGCACCTCTACCGGCCTTTTGGTAAAAACCCATTTGGATAGAAAATTGTGCAGTCCCATGGACCAACCAAATTTCTACCTGCCAATCAGGTCTTTGAGCAACCCTGGACATATTAGGGTCCCCTCTGGAATGGGTTGCACCCCTACTCAAATCAAAATCGGGGCTCAACATGGGCCAAGTCCATCGGCATGAAGAAAGCCATCAGAAGCGTGAAGGTCACTGACAATGAGATAATGGGCAGCAGATTTACTATCCCTTTCTATACCTGGGTACATACCGTGAGATGAATCGTTCTCATACCTTCTCAGAGGATCGAACGTGATTCATGGCCCCTGAAACGACATTTCCTTGGCCCCTTGCGCGCTTTCAAAGGCCCATTCAGTCTCCTTGTGTGGATAAAAAGACCGAAAGAAGAAACAGACGATGGGATGACCATCATGTTCTTACATCTGAGACTTGTCTAGAGCAAGTCCTCGCTGATGTTTGAATGAGATAGCCCGTCAAGCGTTGTGTGGACAGGATGACAATGAACGTCACTGATAAACGGATACAGCTAGAACTCACTCACTTGATCTCCCACAGAAAATATTTTTGTGAAACCTTTCCTCCTTTTCACTGTAGATGGTTTCATCAGTATGTGTTCGTTCTAGTTGTTTTGTTCTTGTACTTTAGCTTTACTTCTTCATCCCCTTCATCATGTTTTGTGCATCTTAAGCAAGGCTCAACTCTTAGCCATTTACTATTGCCTTCTTCCTTTGGAAGCCTTTTTCTTAGACTTAACTTGTTTGGGAAAGGGAAT